AAAAATGTCACAATCCAAAACAAATAAACTGTTTTTACTCAAGGTCAAGTGTCAAATTTGAGAGATTAATGCACTTTGCTAAAGCAGAACCTAAGCCTGATGCACCTTAATCACCAATTTTATTGAAACTTTTTAAATATTGAAGAAAAAATATATTATTATATAGTTAATTAAAAGGAAAAAACGAAGAAAAAATATGAAATAATAAGATTAATTAACAATAAAAGCAAAAGTTGAAAATAAAATGATGTGCTAAATTAAGAAAGAAAGAAAGAACAAAAAAAAGCAAGCACAAAAAAAAGAAAAAGAAAAAAGAGCTTTATTGTTTTTAATTAGTTTTTATAATTAAAAATGTCACAATCCAAAACAAATAAACTGTTTTTACTAAATGTCAAGTGTCAAATTTGAGAGATTAATGCACTTTGCTAAAGCAAAACCTAAGCTTGATGCACCTTCATCACCAATTTAATTTTAACTATTTAAATATTGAAGAAAAAATATATCATTAAATAGTTAATTAGAAGGAAAAAACGAAGAAAAAATATGAAATAATAAGATTAATTAACAATAAAAGCAAAAGTTGAAAATAAAATGATGAACTAAATGAACAAAGAAAGAAAGAACAAAAAAAAAGCAAGCACAATAAAAAGAAAAAGAAAAAAGAACTTTATTGTTTTTAATTAGTTTTTATAATTAAAAGTATCACAATATAAAACAAATAAACTGTTTTTACCCAAGGATAAGTGTCAAATTTGAGAGATTAATGCACTTTGATAAAGCAGAACCTAAGCCTGATGCACCTTAATCACCAATTTTATTGTGACTTTTTAAATATTGAAGAAAACATAAATCATTAAATAGTTAATTAGAAGGAAAAAATGAAGAAAAAATATAAAATAATAAGATTAATTAACAATAAAAGCAAAAGTTGAAAATAAAATGATGAAATAAATTAAAAAAGAAAGAAAGAACAAAAAAAAGCAAGCACAATAAAAAGAAAAATAAAAAAGAGCTTTATTGTTTTTAATTAGTTTTTATAATTAAAAATGTCACAATCCAAAACAAATAAATTGTTTTTACTAAAGCTCAAGTGTCAAATTTGAGAGATTAATGCACTTTGCTAAACCAGAACCTAAGCCTGATGTACCGATTGCACCAATTGAATTGTTTCTTTTTAAATATTGAAGAAAACATAAATCATTAAATAGTTAATTAGAAGGAAAAAATGAAGAAAAAATATGAAATAAAAAGATTAATTAACAATAAAAGCAAAAGTTGAAAATAAAATGATGTGCTAAATTAACAAAGAAAGAACAAAAAAAAGCAAGCACAATAAAAAGAAAAATAAAAAAGAGCTTTATTGTTTTTAATTAGTTTTTATAATTAAAAATATCACAATCCAAAACAAATAAACTGTTTTTACGAAAGGTCAAGTGTCAAATTTGAGAGATTAATGCACTTTGCTAAAGCAGAACCTAAGCCTGATGCACCTTCATCACCAATTTTATTGTGACTTTTTAAATATTGAAGAAAAAATATATCATTAAATAGTTAATTAGAAGGAAAAAATGAAGAAAAAATATGAAATAATAAGGTTAATTAACAATAAAAGCAAAAGTTGAAAATAAAATGATGTGCTAAATTAACAAAGAAAGAACAAAAAAAAGCAAGCACAATAAAAAGAAAAATAAAAAAGAGCTTTATTGTTTTTAATTAGTTTTTTAATTAAAAAATTCACAATCCAAAACAAATAAACTGTTTTTACTTATGGACAAGTGTTAAATTTGAGATAATGCGCTTTGCTAAAGCATAACCATAGCCTGATGCACCTTAATCACCAATTTTAATGTTACTTTTTAAATATTGAAGAAAAAATACATCATTAAATTGAGTATTGCCATACAAATTTTCAAAAAGTGAGTTTTATATTCAAGTTTTACATTTTATAAAATTAAAATATTAGTAAATTTTTCAAAATTTATTTAAAAAAAAAAATGATAAGTTATAAGTATATACAGTATGTATATATTATTTCAAATTTTACATTTTGTCAATTTAAAGCTTTCTAAAAACTCAAAAATAAGGCTATTTTAAGCTAATTTAGCTTTATTATTATGTTATTAAGAAATATTATATTTTGCCTTTTATAAATTAAATAGGCATTGCACTCTAGTTAATTATAAGGAAAAATGAAGAAAAAATATGAAATAAATAAGATTTATTAATAATTAATAAAATTAACAAATAATGAAAAAAAAAAACCAATCAATAAATAATGATGATAATTTCTATAATAAAAATTATTTATTTAAATAAATAGAAATTTAAATATAAAAATAATAATAATAATAAAAATAATATTTATTAATAAAATATACCCGAGATCAATATGGAGAATCTAATGAGATAAAAGAGAAGAGCTTATAAACTTTTTTTATTAATTTATATAAATTTAAAGGATATTAATAGAAAAATTAATAATTACTTCTTCTAATCTATTATATCTTTTAATCTATTACATCATTTATTTATTTTTTCAAAAATATTGTTTAGCAATTTATGAAATTTAATTAATTAATTATAAATGGATAAAAAGAACAAATAAATATAATAATTAATTAATTATCAAATATTAATTTATATATTTGGTTTTATGAAGAGATAGATATCACAGAAAAATTATTTAATATTCATTATTTAAACTGAATATTTGTATTTAAAAGATATACTTAAAAATATATATAGTAGGAATTATAGATGGTCAGTTATTCATTTAGTTATATTTGAAAAAATTCTAGTAGTTAATGTTCTTAAATATTATAAAAATAATGTTTTTAAATAGATTTTTCTGTTTAGCTCTGTATTTTATTTTTGGAATATTTATAATATCTCTAATTATTGTTCCTCTTATTAAGAAATATATTTTTATATTTTATAATAAAATTATAATTAATAATTTAATTTATTGTAATTTCTAATATAATTTTTTTACATTAAAATTTTTAAATTTTGCTAAATTTTGTTTAAAAATTTTGATGTAAAAAAATTATGTATTTTTGAAATTATAATAAATTAAAATATTAATTTTAATTCTATTATAAAATATAAAAATCTGATTTTTTAATAAATAATTAAAAAATCTATTTCATTATAAATTAATTCCAAACGACGGAATTTTTTAATGGAATCTTGCTATAATATTTTATCAAAATTGAAACTAAAATTTTGTATGTAATTTAATAATTTAATGAAATTTTTAATTTAAATTTATTTTAAAAACGTATTTTAGAAAATATTTTTTTAGACTTTCAATATGGAATAATTTTAAAGCAATCCATCTTTAGAAGATTTTATAAAACATCAATCCAGTCTAGTCTCAAGCCCAATTTAAATTTGAACAATCTACTTCAAAAAATATTTTGAGAGAATCAAAAAATATCATGAATATCTTGATTGATGCCATCTATTCCTAATAGTAATAGGTCATGAGGAAGCTTGAGAAGCAAAATAATTAAAAATTTTTATTAGTTTAGCATTTTTAAAAATTTTGATTGAAAAATAATTTATGTTTTTTTGCTAATTATATCATCTTTATATTTAAAAAAAAATGGAATTTATCATTAAAACAATTTTATGAAAGGTTTGTTTTAAATTAATAACTTAAAAAAATTACATTCATTCTAGAAAATTAATTTAAAATGCTTTACTAAAATAAAAATAAAGAGAAACAATAAAATAAATATAATAATATTATTTAATTTTAGGTCAAAAAATGAATTCATTTTTTTCAATCATTTCTACAAAATAGTTTCTTTAAGAATATCGCTTATAATAATCATCTTCATCTCTGGTATCTTCTAAAGTGCTTTTGTTTACATGAAAGCTTAAAAGCCTTTTAATTCTGTATAATGTGAATAAATCTAATGGTTCAATATCTACATTATCATATGAAACACAAAATATTTAAATTTTATTAACTTATGTTTTATTTATTTATTCTAAAATATTGTCAATATAGGGAAGATTACCATTAATTGTATAAAGCTCTAAATTTAATTCTGTTATTTACCTGCAAAAATCTAAATTAAAATAAAAATTTTTTTCATGAATATATTATAAATTTAGTGTCTATAAATGTTAAAGTTAGCTAATAAATATTTATTAAATCTTAAGAGATTTGTCTTATTTGAGGTAATTAATGGCATCTCGTCCAAAAATACTAAACATAACTTAGTAGTCCACTTCAAGGTTCAATATTTTATTTAGTGATTCACACTACTACCATTTTATCAACATATAGTTTTAATATCCAATTAAACAGAAGACTTGCTAATTAACTATCAAAATTTTCATTTAATAAGGTAAATCATATTAAAATTCAAACACTTAAATTTCAAATTTTTTATTATTTATTAATTCACATTAGCTGCTTGATAAAATATTTTGGTTTATTATTTAATTTAAACTGAACTCTTATTGATTTATAGTAAAAATAGCTAATTTAGATTAACTCTTTATTAACCAAGATTTTAATTGGTATAAATCATTATATTGAGAATATTTTTCACATAATTATACATTATCAAATTTAAAAATTCTTAGTTTACTATCAATGTAATTTTTTTAAAAATAATTTACAGGTAATCTTAGTGAAGATATTTCTAATTAGTTGTTTTTTTGCTAAAGACTGAAAATACATTTGATATTTAAAATAGATAATTCTGATAAATCAAAATATTCTCTTCGATTACTACTATCTGAATACTCTTAATAACTTTTTTATTTTCTTATTACAACTTTTATTTTTTTCAAATTATTTTTAGATATAAAAATGTCCATTAAATTTTTATTTTTAAGGTATGTATCCTTTAAGTAGGCAATGCTGTTATAATTATAAAATCCAACAGATATGTTATCAAAAGCAGCTTTCACACCTTCTAAAGAGTTTTTAGAGATTTGATCAAAAAAAATTTTAATTAAAATGAAAAACATGCTCTTCTCATAGCTTTTTTCTTCTAACAATTATTTGAAAGAATAGCTATTTTTTAAATTTATATTGATAATTTCAATATATTAATGTGAAAAATCATTTAAGTCAATTTAGTCTATTAGAAAATCAAGTTTTATTTGATCAATTATATGCTTTTTTACAATGTCATTAATTTCTTAATGGATAGTACAATCGATATTAACATTTTATGTTAGATTAATTTCTTATTGCATATTTTCATCATTTAAAGTTTATTCTTAAAAATGATATAAATCATATTTAAAAATGTCTTTTACTCTTTATTATTAAATTTAAAAATTTGGTTAAATTTACAAAGATTCTAAATCCATCTACATAGCTGCTGTGTTGCTTTTTACCTCTTCTAGTTTAGATTCAAAATAACTTCTATTTTTTTAATAGAAGTTAATATTCTGTTTTGTTTATTTATAAAAATTGCCATCTTAAATAATTTTTATTGCATTATCATACAACTAATTATAACCTTATTTATTTAATCGAAAAAGAGTTGAAGGATTAATTTTAGTTATTTGCAAACCACAAATAGTAAAAAGCTCATAACTTAGATGAATTAGACTTTGAATTTCTTCAAAGCAGCTTTCATTTTTTAAAAAGCAGCAATTTTATTTTTATGATTTTTCAATAAGCATTTTTTCCACTAAAACATAGCTTTATTTCTCAAACATTAGTAATTCTGCACTAATAATTGATGTATTTTTGGTAAATAATGGATTTGATAATAACTTATTATATAATGAAAGTTATTCTTCAGCTTATGATAGATTTTAATGGCTAAATCCTTGCAGAATAATGACTTTATCTCTTTTATAAGCATGTAATTCAAACATAGATTAATTCGAAATTTCAAATTTGAATTGATCATACAATGGATGATTTTGAATAACTTCAAAAATTTCCAAAGGGTGATATCTAAGAACATTTCCATGAAGATTTTAAACATATTTCAGAAACTCTTTTTTTTATACGTAATTATTAAAATAATCTTAAAATCCATTAATCATGTCAAGAATTTCATTATTTGAGTATTAAATTTCTTCAATAAGTTCTTATTCTTTCTATTCAATCTTATTTTCTAAATCTTCTTCAGATAACAGTGATGTTGTTTTTGAGAAATTAATGTTAGTAGAACCTACAATCTGATGTTTCTAAAAATAAGATTCAAAATCCCAATTAGGATCAATTAAATTAAATTTGACTATCAACTAGTTATTGCTATTTATCTATACAAAATATTCTTGAAGATCTTTAAAATTCTTTTGATAAAATATTTCAACATTTTATTAGTAAAATTTTTAGACAAAATTTTGTATTTTCTAGGTCATTTAATGTTCCAATTGGAATCTATTTTTAAATTAAGTCAAAGTAAAATCGAAGCACTCCATTTCAAAAACGTAAAAAAGCCTGTCAGTGTCTAAATAGTATTAGTCAATCATTTTTAAGATCATATCACTCCTTAAGCACTAATTAGTTATTTCTTGATAGAAGAGATTGTATTTCTCAAAGTCTTCAGACAAACATATGATCAGCATTTTATTTTATTTTACAAGTTAATCATAAACTTTTAAATACCCAAGTTAGTTTTACTAGATAACCAAGATGTCTTCTCTGCTATTCTGGATCTAAATGAATTCTTTTAATTAGATAGATGGCTTAATTAATTTTAGGCATAGAGTTATGTAGCTTTCTTGCAAAACCTTTTAACTTTTTTTCAATTCCTTATTACTTTGTTCTAAGTCAATCATAGATATTTTAGATATTTTTTGATAATTTTTTCTTTTTAATTATTAATTAATTAATTATTAGAAATTAGGTATTTATTTTCTCTGTATTAAATAAATCTTTTTTACCGCTCTCATATTCTATCAGTATTGATGAAGAGTTTTGAGAATAAATAATTCTAAATAAATTATTTAAATAAAAAAGAAGCAAGAGGGCAAAAATATTAATTTATTTGAAAATCTTTTATAATTTTTTTTAGAATTAAACTCAAATTGATTATTTTAAATTTAAAACAATATAAAACTCTTTTATAAAGTGTTGTAAATATTTTATCTTTGAATTCATTTATTATTCTCTTCGCTAATATATAAATCGATAAATAGGTATTTATTTTTACTATATTAAACCAACTCTTTTTTACAGTCTCTTATCTTATAAATGTTGAGTACAAATATTGAGAAAAATAATTAAAAATTATATTAGTTTAGTGTATTAAACAAATTCTTTTACCGCGCTCATATTTTACCAATACTGATGAAGAGTTTTGAGAATAAATAATTCAAAATCAATTATTTAATTAAAAAAAGTAAGAAAGAAGATAAAAATATTAATATGTAAATCCTTTATAATTTTATGAATTTAATTAGGCTCGAATTGTGTTTTTATTATTATTTTAAATTTAAAACAATATAAAGCTCATTTATAAAGTGTTTTTAGTATTTTATGTTTGAATTAATTTATTATACTCTTAGATAATAATACAAGTTGATAAATAAATATTTATTTTTACAGTATTGAACAAATTTTTTTTACAGTCAGTCTCATATTTTATTGATGTTGAGTACAAATTTTGAGAAAAATAACTAAAAATCAATATTAGTTTAGTGCATTTCTTTTACCGCGCTCTTATTTTACCAATATTGAAGAAGAGTTTTGATAATAAATAATTCAAAATCAATTATTTAATTAAATAAGGGAATAAAAACGATAAAATATAGCAATTCCAGGTATTAAATTCTTATGGAAGTGGCGAATTAAGAATTTAATTCCTGGATTTGCTATAAAATAGATTAATAAATTTAATGATTTTATTTTGCTTTTTTTTGAAAAATATTTATTTTATAATTTTTTAATATAAAAATTTAATTTAAGAAATTATATTTATTTTTAATTTATAATAGATTTTTATTTTATAATATTATCAACATTTTTATTTATTTTAAAAGAAAAAATTAATTATTTATTAATTAATTCTTTGAAATAATTAATCTTGATTTCTTTTTTCGCGCTAAGTCAAAATATATTCAGAAATTATTATATTTAATAAGACAAATAGATAATGAAACTAATTCAATTAAAAGAATATAGCGAATTTTTAAAATTAGTTATAGGCAAGGCAAATACAAAATTCAAGAGGTACTTTTAAATAAACACTAGACTTGTATTCGCAGTATAATTCTTGTCTTTTGTATGACATGAATGATGAAAAATATGCTAATTTAACAGCAGGGCTTGAATATGATTAAATCGACGATATTTAAAGCTTGTTTAAGCTTATAAGTTAACTTTTAAAAAATCTAATTTTATTCATATTCAAAAAAGTTAAAATTCTTGAAAAGTTAAATTTAGGAGAATTGGAAAATTGTTTGCAATAAGAATAAAAATCTTCAAATTAAGAAAAAACAGAGCATGATTTATCTTTGTATGAGGATATAGATAAAGAACTTAACTTTGAAGATTTGAACAAAAAATTAAAAGTGAATATTGAGCTTTTAATGTCACTTAAAATATATTATGAAGAATTAAATTTTAAATAGAATATATGAAAAAGATTATTAGGTGATCATTATGAATCCATTTAAACTTAATTTTAATTAACTTAATAGTATTTACTTAGATACTCTAGAAGCAAATTTTAATATATAGATGTTGCAATTCATATATAAAATACAAAATTACTTCAAATATAGAAGATCTTTAAACAATATTAAAGTAATCCCCACAAACTAGAATTTAAGTCTTTTAACTTTTTGTTTCGATTAATCATGAAATTTGGCATGATGTTAGTAGTTAAAATGATTACAAATGCCATTGTTTTGGTGATTTGAGTGAAGAAGGCCCTCTTGCTGAAATAAATTTAAATTCTTATTTTTCAAAAGTAAAATATATTGATATAATAATGTATATGTATTATATGAGTAGTTAGTTGATTTTACTGAACTATGAAAATAATGATTTTAGAATTTATTCAGATGATAATCTAAAAGAACAAATTTATTCTATTGAGTAAATTAATCGAGTCAAGAAATATTTTTAACTTGGTTTATACTTAGTTAATAATTAATAAGACTAAACTAATTTTTAATTTGAATATGTTCAAATACCTAATATTTTAAATCAAAAGCATTTATTCGTAAATAAAACCTATTAGTCTCTTGTAGAATAGCAAGACTAAATCTTGCTGAAAATTGCTATATTTAAAAAAAAATTAATTTAAGGCCTATTTAATATTAGCTTACAAAAGTGCATTGTAGATTTATATTTTGATTGACTTGTTTGATTATTATGTACTTAAAGTATTATTTTTAAATATTTCTATTTGTTATTTTTGTCTCTTATTAAATACATAGCTATTATTCGTTTTTTTTGTTATAAACCAAGCTAAAACAAATAATTTTTATTACATATTACGAAAGAGTGTAAATGAAAACATAGAAGCAAAAAAATTTTGAGCAATAAAATTTTTTTATTTTAATTTTTTAGTTTTTTATAAATAAATTAATTGTATAACTAATAAAATATTTATTTGATATGCCAAATATTTAAATGAAAAAATATATTTTAATTATTTTTAAATTTATTCTAAAATATTAATTAATTTGTATTTATAAATGAAAGACAAATAAATACTTTTATTTAAAATAATATATATATATACTCTTTATAAAATTAATCACAGGTATACTCTTTAAACAACTAATCTCATTAATTTCAGAAGTTTGTTTCTTAATATTGCTTTCAATTTTTAATTCGTTGAATTGTATCTTTATAAATATAATATAAATTGATTAATTAATTTCAAAGAAAGTTCTATTTTTATTTTTTGAATAAATAGATTGATAGATTCAAAAAACACTTCAAATTAAAAAAATAATTTAAATAAATTCAAGTTTTCTTATTTATTTATTTATTTATTTATTTATTTATTTATATTTTACTAAAAACAAGAACATTTTTGGATGATTTGATAGAAATTGCATGTTGATAATGAAATAAATTATTTAACCTGAAATAAAATGTCAAGCTATTCAGATTAGTACAGCTTAATAAACAATTAACTAAGCCTAGTGCTCCCTTTTCACCAATATAATTGATTCTTTTATCATAATTAAATAAAATACTCAGCTTTATTCAGAAATAATATTAAAGAATAGCAAATAATTAATAAAAATTCTTGCCTTAATTTTAAATCATTAAAATTTATGAAAATACATGCCATAAATTATCAAATTTGAGAATTAAAATAAATCTAGAAAAAAAAGATAAAAATATCTTTTAAATATTTTTTAGATAAAGCACATGCATCCATAAATTCTTAGGAAAATTAAAAAAGCTTATTACTCAAGATTAAGACTTAAATTTAAGATTTTTTTATTGTTTTCTAAAGCAGATCTTAGACCCAAAACTCCATTGTCACGAATAAGATTGAATCTTTTAAAAAATTAAATTTTTTAATCAATTAAAAATACAAGATATTAAATAAAAAATAATGCAATTTTTTGGTATATTTTCTCTAATTTCTTAATAAAATTTATACATTAGAATATAAATAAATAAAGGCAAAGTAACTTATAATTTTTTACTAAAGATTGAGTGATATGCTTGATAGTTTTTCACATTTCTTTAAAGCTGAGCCCAAGGATTATGTACCTTCATCACTAGTTTAATTAGTTCTATTCATGTATTTGTTGTCAAAAAAAGGAAAAATATTATTAAAACATTCATTATATAAAAAAATTTTATTAAAAAAATGTGGGTTTTAAAATGAATTAAATTAGATTAATATAATAAATATAAAGGAGAAATAAATAAAATAATTAAGAAAGTTAATGAAAATTAAAATATTCATTTATTATTATTAATCATAATTAATCTTAATTCTTAAATAATATTATATTACTAGTTAAGTTTTATTTCATTTATGGTTGCTTTTAATAAACAAATAACAAATTTATTAGTGGATTTTATTTACCTGAGGTTAAGGGTCAAATTTGATAGATTAGAGCACTTTTATAATCCCTAGCATAAATTTTAAATACCTTTGACCTTTATTGTATTCTATCTTTTTATTTTTTTTATTATTGTAAATATCGTTATTAATGAAAAATTAAAATTAATTTAGTTTAAATAAAAAAATATATATAAATAATTCTAAAATAAGAGGTAGAAGGAGATTAAAACAATTAATTCTTAGTATCTATTATTCTTAATTATGTTTCTTAAAAATATAAAAAAAGAAACTTTTTTACTCAAGATTTATAGCTAAATTTTATAGTGCAGCTAGCTTTTATAATGTAAAACCTAAAATTTATAAATCTTCTTAACTAACCTTGTTGAATCTTTTAATATTTTTAATATTAATAAGTAAATAAATAAATCAATATTTTACTTTAATGCAAAAAAATTAAAATTAAAAAAAATTATTTTTTCAATTTAAAATAGTAAAGAAATATTTTCTACTTTAGATTCAATGTTAAACTTTAGAGCTTTAAGCACTTTACTAAAGCAGTGTCAAATCCTACTAAGCTATTTTTTCCCATTTTATTTGACCTTTATTAATTTTTATTTATATTTTTTAGCTTTAATAAATTGTATTTTTGAATGTAAAAAGAATTTAAAAACTTTCAATAAAAGAATTTTTAAAAATTTATTGATCGATCATGTTAGTTTTTTAAATTAATTTTAAAATAGTAAAGCAATTTAAATTTTATTCACTCAAGATTAAGATTTAAAATTTAAAGTTATGTGCATTCAGTTATTCCAGAGAAAAGGTTTTATAAATTTTATCTAACTAAGTTACAAGACCTTTATTCATGTTTTATTTTAATAGCAAAATTAATTATATTAAAATAAATAAATAAATAAATAATTTCCAAATAAAAATTCAAATAAATTAAGAAATATATACAATATTTAAATAAATAAATTTATATAAAATAATATTAAATAAATTTATAAGTAAAATTAAAAGAATTAAATTGTTAAAGATAAGTAATAAAAAAAACTAATATTTAAGATTGATTGATTGATTACCTAAGGTCAATTTGAAGATCTGTGTGAAGTTATAAACTAGAATTTAAAAACTATTTTAAATAATAAAAATAAATAAATAAATGAAATTAATCATAAAAATTAATTGCATGTTCTAGGTTGTTAAAATGTTAGTTCTTTTATAGCATTTTTTTTTAAGGGATATTTAATAATAAATTTTATTATAATTATCTTATTTAATAAGATATTATTTAGGTAAAAAAAATTTAATTTTTTTCAATAGCAAAATAAAATATGAGCTTTTTGTTTTTAAATTAATTTTAGTAATCTTTTAAATACTAATATAAAGAAAGCTATTGTATAAAATAATTTAATAAATAATATTATAATCATTTAAAAATTATGATATAATGGTTTGTGATTTTTCAATTGCAAGAGCAATTATATATGAGGTAAATATTTGTTTGACAAGCGAGGTAGTTGTAAAGATAAATAGAGAGATTTTAATTTTTGTTAACATATATTTATTTAATTATTCATTATCAATTTTTTTGGATTTTTTTACAAATAATTATAAATTTATAAATACTTACAAAAATTAGTAAAAGCAATAGCTATATCTTTTTATTCAAATATTTTAGTTTCATCTTGGCTATAAAATGGACAAAACTAGCTTTTAGGCCCTAAATTGTCGCAAACATCAAAAAAAACATCTTTAATTCATTTAAGTGAATGATGTTCTAAACCAACAAAGTTAAAGCAAAGAGCTTTTCTACTGCTCTTCATGCTTCAACCATGATCTTGAATTTAAATCAATTAATTTTCTTATGATTGATTAGATTCTCTAAGAAGCAGAAACTAACATTATCCCAAAATGGCCACCAGTCAACAATTACTAGCTTATTTAAGACCTCATCGATTTCACTTCTAAAGAATCTGAGTTGAATTACGAAAAATAAATTATTGATTTCTTTAATGAGTTGAAAGAATAGCTTTTAGCAAAAATAGATATTATCTAAAAAAAAATGATCAACGAAACTCATAAGTATCCAATAGATAATAATTAAATCATCAAAAAGTATTAAGAAATTTCAAATATCCTTTAATTTAAGCAACTTCTTATGAATGAATAAGGAAATAATCTCTAAGAGCATTCAACTCTTTGTAGGTAATTCATCTAAAAAATAGAATCTTAAAAAGACAAAAATACTGAATTATTGCAAAGTCTACTTACTTAATCTAACTAATTATAAAAAAGCTTCGATTTAGAGTATCCAATTGCAATTAAATAGCAATTATTCACTCTTGTTGATTCAATTTCCTTCTTTAATTAAGATTTTTCTTAAGTTAATCTAAACCAAAGCAATTAAGGCTCTTAGCAATCTAGAATTAGCACTTAAAATAGTAATAAAATAACAGCTGACTTAATTATGAAATTGATTTCAAATAAATCAAACTTTTGCTCTGATTAATTTATAAATGAATTGAATTTGAGTTTGTAAAAGCTAAATCCTCTTCTTTAATATTTGAAACTTAATAATATTTTCAAAGAAAATAAAGAACCTATAGAATTTTCAAAAATTAGCGAAGAAAAACTAAATTTAGTGGGAGAGTATGTTAAACATTCAATATAATTAACATCTGATTAATAATATGAAAACTCAATAAAGAATAAGATGGAATTAAAGTAAATTAATGAAATTATGAATTCTAAAATGAACTTCTTAAACTAAGAATCTATTTAGAAATTTGAAAAGTGGACAGTTGAGATGTATCCATTCTTAAAGTAAATGAATTTCTAAAATTTTATTAAAGATAAAAATAAATTTGACTTATTTAAAAATTTGGGAGATAATAATTTTAATGAGTTAATAATCGCCGCTTAAAAAGGATTTTTTTATTTAAATCTAAATTTGGTTGGGACTGAATATTCTGATGGATAAAGAATATTTGCAGTTAGTAAAAATAAAAATAGTGAGTACATCATTACAAAAATAAATAGTGAAAATTGGACTTGTTGTATTTCAAGTTTAGATTTATAAAAAGATCTAAAATATGTTTTTAGGATATAACTAGAAAAAATTAATGAAGGAAATGAATTTGTTGTAGGTCTGATGAGAAATTCTATCTCTTAAAATAAAGGTGGATGGGATGATTATTTGAGTTGTTAACTAAAAAACTAAAGTGAATATTTAAAAATAAGCGATAATTACGGAATAATAAATTTACTAAAAGGAGTAAATGAATTTTAGGTAAAAAAAGATTGTGTAATAGAAATACGAGTATGCTTAAAAGATAAATTATTAGAAATGACTGATTATCCTAATTATTAGTATAAACTAGGATTAGAAGATAAACATAAACCTAAACTTGAATAATATAAAGATTTAAGATTTTATTTAAGTTTTTTGTCTTCTGATATCTAAATAAGCTTAAAAGATGCGGAAATAGTTAATAAATTCAAAGATTGATTTATTTAAGATAAATAAAATATTTGAGAAATTAGAGAAATATTATTTTGACTATGAACTGTGGAAAAATGTGCAAATTAATTTTTGTTAGACTGAGCACATGTGCGCAATTTAACCAAATTTTTATATAAATTTAAATATTTAAAATATATTGATAGGATCATAAAGTAATGCTTATAAGAACTATTTTTTTTATTTGTTTATACATAGATTTGTAACCAGAAATTATTAATAAAAAAAATTAAATGGTTATTATAAATTTATTAAAATTATATTATATATTGATTATTTAATATTAATATACAAATATTTTTTGTTATTTATTTTTTATATTATGATAAATGACACAAATACACCATTTATTTTATTTTATTTAATTAGAATCACAATAAATAAATAATAAAAATTATTTTTTTCTTTTAAATTTACTAGATATATTTTCACATTGATTTTGATTTAATTAACATTATATTTTTGAGCTTCTTTCTGCCATAGATTGATAGAATATAATAGCATATTAATTACTGCTTATGATAAATAACTCATTAAAGTACATTTATCTATTTGTATATAAATTAAAAAACTTGCCTACTAATATATTATTAACATTTTTGCACCTAATGTGCTATTAAGAGATATTCTATTATCATCAAAAGATTAATTCTTCATCAATAAATTTTATTTACAACAAATATCTGTCTGTCTGTCGCAAAAATTTATCTAATAAAATAGTTGGCGTTGATAATAAATTTTGTTCATTAAAAATTAAACTAAAAATCAAAAGCAACAAATAAAAATTAGAAAATAGTAATAAAAGATGTAATTGATTAATATCAATACAAACATAAAAAATTGCAGAATTATTAAAAGGTATAAATTTGTTTGTTTTATTATGATTATTAAAAAACATAATCCTCGGATTTTAAAATACTTGTTTAAAATATTTAAATTAATTAATATAAATAAGATTAAAATTTATAAGGTTAATTTTAATTATATTAATCTAAATTTACTACATAATAAATATTATTTTATAGCAAGATGCCATTCAAAAATTCCGTCGTTTGGATGTGACTTATTATGAATTAGATTTTTATATTTTATAATAGAATTATAATTAATAATTTAATTTATTATAATTTCAAAAATAACTAATTTTTTTACTTTAATTGTAAGTATTTTAAAATCAAATATAATCAAAAAATTAAGATGTAGAACTAAAAAATGTTCATAAATAATTTAATAGTCATTTGAAATATCACAAATCATAATATCATTAACGTTGATTTGTGATATTTCAAATGAAAGAAAAACTATATATAAAAAATAATTAAGCTATAATCAATAATTTAATAATTATTTGAAATATTACTAATTATGATATAATAATTAGCAGTGTTTCAAATACAGGTATTAGAGGAAGATATTTGATAATTGATTTAGTGGCAGAGATAGATAGTCAGATTTTATTTTGTATTAATTTTTATTTATTTTATTATTTATTCTCAAATTTTTTGGATTTTTAACATTTAATTATAAATTAATAAATACTTACTAAAATTAGTAAAAACAATAGCTATTTCTTACTCTCCAAATATTTTAGTTTCTTTTGAATATAAAATGGACAAAACTAGATTTTAGACTCTGCAATGCCACAAGCATCAAAAAAAGCATCTTTAATTCATTTAAGTGAACGATGTTCTAAACCAACAAAGTTAAAACAAACAGCTTTTCTACTGTTCTTCATGCTTCAACCATGATCTTGAATTTAAGTCAATTAATTTTCTGATGATTGATTAGATTCTATAAGAAGCAGAAACTAGCATTATCCCAAAATGGCCTCCGGTCAACAATTACTAGCTTATTTAAGACCTCATCGATCTCACTTCTAAAGAATCTGAATTGAATTATGAAAAATAAATTATTGATTTCTTTAATGAATTAAAAGAATAGCTTTTAGCAAAAATAGATATTATCTAAAAAAAAATGATCAACGAAACTCATAAATATCCAATAGATAATCATCAAATCATCAAAAAATATTAAGAAGTTTCAAATATCCTTTAATTTAAGCAACTTCTTATGAACGAATAGGGAAATAATCTTTAAGAGCATTCAACTCTTTGTAGGTAATTCATCTAACAAATAGAATCTTAAAAAGACAAAAATACTGAATTATTGTAAAGTCTACTTACTTAATCTAACTAATTGTAAAAAAGCTTCGATTCAGAGTATCCAATTATAATTAAATAGCAATTATTCACTCTGATTGATTCAATTTCCTTCTTTAATTAAGATATATCTTAAGCCAGTCTAAACTAAAGAAATTAAAGCGCTTAGCAATCTAGAATTAGCACTTAAAATAGTAATAAAATAACAGCTGACTTGATTATGAAGTTGATTTCTAATAAATCAAACTTCTGTTCAGATTAATTTTTAAATGAATTGAATTTGAGTTTATAAAAGCTAAATCCTCTTCTTTAATAATTGAAATTTAATAGTATTTTCTAAGAAAATAAAGAGCCTATAGAATTTACAAAAATTAGTGAAGAAAAACTAAATTTAGTGGAAGAATATGTTAAGCATTCAATATAATTAACATCTGATTAATAATATGAAAACTCAACAAAAAATATGTTGGAATTAAAGTAAATTAATGAGATAATGAATTCTAAAATGAATTTCTTAAACTAAGAATTTATTTAGAAATTTGAAAACTGGGCAGTTGAGATGCAACCTTTCTTAAAATAAATAAATTTGTAAAACTGTTTTTAAGATAAAAATAAATTTGATTTGCTTAAAAATTTGGGAGATAATAGGATAAATGAATTAATAATGACAAATTAGAAGGGACTTTTTTATTTAAATCTAAATTTAGTTGGGACTGAATATCATAATGGATAAAAAGCATTTGTACTTAGTAAAAATAGAAATTATGAATACATCATTAGTAAAATAAATAGCGATGATTGGACTTGTTGTATTTCAAGTCAAGATTTACAAAAGGATCTAAAATATGTTTTTAGGATATAACTTGAAAACATTAATGAAGGAAGAGAATTTGTTGTAGGTATAATGAGAAATTCTATCTCTAAAAATAATGGTGGGTGGGAAGATTACTTGAGTTGTTAACTAAAGAATTAAAGTGAATATTTAAAAATAAGCTATAGTTACGGAATAAATAATATACTAAAAGGAGTAAGCTAATTTTAAGCAAAAAAAGATGGTGTATTAGAAATACGTGTGTGCTTAAAAGAAAAAATATTAGAAGTGACTGATTATCCTGATTATCAGTATAAACTAGGATTGGAAGATAGACATAAATCTAAACTTGAATAATATGAAGATTTAAGATTTTATTTAGGTTTTAAATTTTCTGATATCTAAATATGTTTAAAAGATGCTGAAATTGTTGATAAATTTAAAGATTGATTATTTGAGATAGATAAAATTTGTAGAGAAATTATTAAGGAATAAAAATTAAATGATTATTGTAAATTTATTTAATTTATTTTATATACTGATTATATATATTAATTTTAATATTTTTTAACAATGGTTATAAAATTTGAATATAATATTTTAAGCTTTTTATATTTTTATTTATTTTAGTACTTTAAAAACGAAAAAGAAGTTATTAAGCTTCATACAAAAAAAATTTAGCAAATAATTTAATAATCATTTGAAATGTCACTAATAATGATATCATGGTTAGTGATACATCAAATACAGCAAAAATTATATTTTAAGAAAATATTTGTCTGTAATAGAGATAAACAGATTTTAATTAGTACTTTTATTTGTTATTTTAATTACTCAATTATATTTGATTATTTGATTTTTTTACATTTTATTATAAATTTATAAATACTTACAAAAATTAGTAAAAATAATAGCTATTTCTTTCTTTCCAAATATTTTAGTTTCATCTTGATTATAAATGGACAAAACAAGCTTTTAGACCCTAAAATGCAACAAACATCAAAAAAAGCATCTTTAATTCGTTTAAGTGAATGATATTCTAAACCAACAAAGTTAAAACAAACAGCTTTTCTACTGTTCTTCATGTTTCAACCATGATCTTGAATTTAAATCAATTAATTTTCTCATGATTGATTAGATTCTCTAAGAAGCAGAAACCAACATCATCCCAAAATGGCCTCCAGTCAACAATTACAAGATTATTTAAGACCTCATCGATCTCACTTCTAAAGAATCTGAGTTGAATTACGAAAAATAAATTATTGATTTCTTTAATGAGTTCAAAGAATAACTTTTAGCAAAAGTAGATATTATTTAAAAAAAAATGATCAACGAAACTCATAAGTACCCAATAGATAATCATCAAATCATCAAAAAATATTAAGAAATTTCAAATATCCTTTAATTCAAGCAACTTCTTATGAATGAATAGGGAAGAAATCTCGAAGAGCATTCAACTCTTTGTAGGTAATTCATCTAACAAATAGAATCTTAAAAAGATAAAAATACTAAATTATTGCAAAGTCTACTTACTTAATCTAACTAGTTGTAAAAAAGCTTCAATTTAGAGTATCCAACTATAATTAAATAGCAATTATTCACTCTAATTGATTCAATTTCCTTCTTTAATTAAGATATATCTTAAATTAGTCTAAATCAAAGTAATTAAGACATTTAGCAATCTAACATTAACTCTCAAAATAGTAATAAAATAACAGCTGACTTGATTATGAAGTTGATTTCAAATAAATCAAACTTTTGTTCTGATTAATTTATAAATGAATTGAATTTGAGTTTATAAAAGCTAAATCCTCTTCTTTAATAATTGAAATTTAATAATATTTTCTAATAAAATAAAGAACCAATAGAATTTTCAAAAATTAGCGAAGAAAAACTAAATTTGATTGAAGAGTATGTTAAACATTCGATATAGTTAAGATCTGATTAATAATATGAAAACTCAACAAAGAATATGTTGGAATTAAAGTAAATTAATGAGATAATGAATTCTAAAATGAACTTCTTAAACTAAGAGTTTATTTAGAAATTTGAAAAGTGGTCAGTTGAGATGCATCCATTCTTAAAATAGATAAATTTCTAAAACTGTATTTAAGATTAAAATAAATTTGATTTGCTTAAAAATTTGGGAGATAATAGTATAAATTAGTTAATGATGACTGATTAGAAGGAATTTTTCTATTTATATCTAAATTTGTTTGGGACTGAACATTAAAATGGATAAAATGACTTAATAGTTAGTAAAAAAAGAAATATTGAATAAATCATTACAAAATTAAATAGTGAAAATTGGACTTGTTGTATTTCAAGTTTAGATTTACAAAAGGATCTAAAATATATTTTTAGGATACAAATTCAAAAAATTAATCAAGGAAACGAATTTCTTGTAGGCCTGATGAGAAATTCTATCTCTAAAGATTCAGGTGGGTGGATAGATGAGTTGAGTTGTGAACTTTAGAGCTAAAGTTTATATTTAAAAATAAACAAAAATTATGGAATAAATAATTATATTAAAGGAATAGGTGAATTTAAGGTAAAAAAAGATGGTGTGTTAGAAATACGAGTGTGCTTAAAAGATAAATTATTAGAAGTGACTGATTATCCTAATTATCTGTATAAGCTAGGATTGGAAGAAAAGCATAAATCTAAACTTGAATAATATGAAGATTTAAGATTTTATTTAGGTTTTTTATCTTCTGATATTTAAATATGCTTAAAAGATGCTGAAATTGTTGATGAATTCAAAGATTGATTAATTTGAGATAAATAAATCTTATTGTGAAATTATAGTAAAGGATATAAATGAAATAATCATTTAAATTGATTTAAGCTATTTTATTTAATGATTATTTAACATGGAAAAACGACTGCTTTTTTTTAATTTTATGATATTTGAATGGTTTAAATACGATAATTTATAACTCTTATAAATTTTATTAACAAAGTAAATTCAAATATCTAAAATTTTATAAATCCATATTTTTAACTATAATAAAATTATTTTTTCAAAACAAATAAATAATATTCATATTTTAATATTAAAAAATCTTTATTTTACTATTTTTTTAACACGCACTATTTATTTTCTATTCAAATATTTATTTTTCAATTAATTCATTTTATTATTTGAAAAATTCATTAAATTGATCTTATTTATATTATTTTAATATTTTTAACAATTTTTTTATATAATTAAAAATTTAATAGAAAAATCTTAAAAATTGATATAACTTAAAATAATAAATATTATTAATTAAATTCAAAATTATTTATTTTTATATAAATAATATTCAAATATATCAGCCATTCAAATAAATAGTGATCTCAATTCACTAACTTTTTGAATGGCATTTAGCTATAAATTAATTTTATTTAATTTCAGTAAAAAGCCTATTAAAAAATTACAAAAGGAATGCATATAAATTAAATATTAAAAAATAGATCAAACAAATTAAATTTTAATAGTAAATTATTTGATTGTTAATTATGATATTATTTAAAAGCTTTTTAATAGAATCTAAAAATATTTTAATTTTTAATAAAATATAAATGAGATAAATATAGTGAATTAGTTGTTAAGATAATTAGAAAGATTTTTAATTTATTTTAATATTTATTTATTGGATTATTCATTCCTAAATTTTTTGGATTTTTTTACATATAATTATTAATTAATTAATAAATACTAACTAAAATTAGTAAAAGCAATAGTTATTTCTTTCTCTCCAAATATTTTAGTTTCATCTTCGTTATAAAATGGACAAAACAAGCTTTTAGACCCTAAAATGCCACAAACATCAATAAAAACATCTTTAATTCGTTTAAGTGAACGATATTCTAAACCAAAAAAGTTAAAACAAACAGCTTTTCTACTGTTCTTCATGTTTCAACCATGATCTTGAATTTAAATCAATTAATTTTCTCATGATTGATTAGATTCTCTAAGAAGCAGAAACCAACATCATCCCAAAATGGCCTCCAGTCAACAATTACAAGATTATTTAAGACCTCATCGATCTCACTTCTAAAGAATCTGAGTTGAATTACGAAAAATAAATTATTGATTTCTTTAATGAGTTCAAAGAATAACTTTTAGCAAAAGTAGATATTATTTAAAAAAAAATGATCAACGAAACTCATAAGTACCCAATAGATAATCATCAAATCATCAAAAAATATTAAGAAATTTCAAATATCCTTTAATTCAAGCAACTTCTTATGAATGAATAGGGAAGTAATCTCGAAGAGCATTCAACTCTTTGTAGGTAATTCATCTAACAAATAGAATCTTAAAAAGATAAAAATACTTAATTATTGCAAAGTCTACTTACTTAATCTAACTAATTGTAAAAAAGCTTCAATTTAGAGTATCCAACTATAATTAAATAGCAATTATTCACTCTAATTGATTCAATTTCCTTCTTTAATTAAGATTTATCTTATATCAATCTAAACTAAAGTAATTAAGGTGCTTAACAATCTAGATTTAACACTTAAAATAGTAATAAAATAACAGCTGACTTGATTATGAAGTTGATTTCAAATAAATCAAACTTTTGTTCTGATTTATTTATAAATGAATTGAATTTGAGTTTATAAAAGCTAAATCCTATTCTTTAATAATTGAAATTTAATAATATTTTCTAATAAAATAAAGAGCCTATTGAATTTTAAAAAATTAGTGAAGAAAAACTAAATTTAGTGGAAGTGTATGTTAAGCATTCAATATAATTATCATCTGATTAATAATATGAAAACTCTACAAAGAATATGTCGGAATTAAAGTAAATTAATGAGATAATGAATTCTAAAATGAACTTCTTAAACTAAGAGTTTATTTAGAAATTTGAAAAGTGGTCAGTTGAGATGCATCCATTCTTAAAATAGATAAATTTCTAAAACTGTATTTAAGATTAAAATAAATTTGATTTGCTTAAAAATTTGGGAGATAATAGGATAAATGAATTAATGATGGTCGCTTAAAAGGGATTATTTTATTTAAATCTAAATTTTGTTGGAGCTGAATTTTAAAATGAATAAAATGCCTTTGTAGTAACTAAAAATATAAATAATAAATATATCATTACAAAAATAAATAGTAATGATTGGGCTTGTTGTATTTCAAGTTTAGATTTACAAAAGGATTTAAAATATGTTTTTAGGATATAAATTGAAAAAATTAATGAAGGAGACGAATTTGTAGTAGGTCTAATGAGAAATTCTATCTCTAAAATTTAAGGTGGATGGGATGATTAATTGAGTTGTGAACTTATGAACTAAAGTGAATATTTAAAAATAGGTACTAATCATGGAATAAATAATTTACTAAAAGGAGTAAGTGAATTTTAGGCAAAAAAAGATGGTGTGCTAGAAATACGAGTGTACTTAAAAGAAAAATTATTAGAAGTAACTGATTATCCTAATTATCAGTATAAACTAGGATTGGAAGATCAGTATAAACCTAAACTTGAATAATATAAAGATTTAAGATTTTATTTAGCTTTTGATACTTCTGATATCTAAATATGCTTAAAAGATGCTGAAATTGTTAATGAATTCAAAGATTGATTAATTTGAGATCAATAAAATTTCTAAAAAATAAAAACTAAATGACTATTAAAAATTTATTTAATTTTTTTTTTAATTGATTATTTAACATGATACACAAATGGTTTATTTAACTTTTTATTTTATGATGTTTGACAGAAATGTTCTTATTTTTTTATATTTAATTAGTATTGCATTAATAATAAAAATGATTTTTTACTTCAAAATTGCTTTGCAAATTTTCACTGTGATCTTTATTTTAACACTATATTTTTCAGCTTCTGCCATAGATTAATAAAATATGAAACATATTAAATGATGCTTATGATAAATAATTAATTAATGTATATTCATTTCTATACATATTTATCAAAAGACTATTTATTCATCAGTAAAATTTATTTGCATAAAAAATCTATCATAAATATTATAGTACTAGTTAGTTTTGATAATAAATAAATAACTCATATAAATTTTATTAAAAAAGTAAATTTGAATTTTTAAAATTTCATTTAAACTGCTTAAAATTTTAATTATCTGTAGCCGAAAGGATTAATTAATACCTGTATCTTCTTTCTGATTTAAAATAAATAAAATAGCAAAATATTTATTTAAATATAAAAAATTTAAGTCATCAAAAAAATTTAAATTAAATTAATTTTATTTAATTTCAGTAAAAAGGCCTATAAAAAAATTACAAAAAGAATACATATAAATTAAATGTTAAAAAATAGATCTAACAAAATAAATTTTAATAGTAAATTATTATGATATTATTTAAAAGCTAAATAAAATCTAAAAATGTTTTAATTTTTAATAAAATATTAATGAGATAAATAATTGCGTAGTGAATTTGTTGTTAAGATAATTACAAAGATTTTTAATTTATCTTAAAATTAATTTATTTATTTTACATATAATTATTAATTAATTAATAAATACTTACTAAAATTAGTAAAAGCAATAGTTATTTCTTTCTCTCCAAATATTTTAGTTTCATCTTGGTTATAAAATGGACAAAACAAGCTTTTAGACCCTAAGTTGCCACAAACATCATAAAAAACATCTTTAATTCGTTTAAGTGAATGATATTCTAAACTAACAAAGTTAAAACAAACAGCTTTTCTACTGTTCTTCATGTTTCAACCATGATCTTGAATTTAAATCAATTAATTTTCTCATGATTGATTAGATTCTCTAAGAAGCAGAAACCAACATCATCCCAAAATGGCCTCCAGTCAACAATTACAAGATTATTTAAGACCTAATAGATCTCACTTCTAAAGAATCTGAGTTGAATTACGAAAAATAAATTATTGATTTCTTTAATGAGTTCAAAGAATAGCTTTTAGCAAAAATAGACATTATTTAAAAAAAAATGGTCAACGAAACTCATAAGTACCCAATAGATAATCATCAAATTATCAAAAAATATTAAGAAATTTCAAATATCCTTTAATTTAAGCAACTTCTTATGAATGAATAGGGAAGTAATATCGAAGAGCATTCAACTCTTTGTAGGTAATTCATCTAACAAATAGAATCTTAAAAAGATAAAAATACTTAATTATTGCAAATTCTACTTACTTAATCTAATTAATTGTAAAAAAGCTTCAATTTAGAGTATCCAACTGTAATTAAATAGTAATTATTCACTCTCGTTGATTAAATTTCCTTCTTTAATTAAGAAATATCTTAAATTAATCTAAATCAAAGTAATTAAGACGCTTAATAATCTAACATTAACTCCCAAAATAGTAATAAAATAACAGCTGACTTGATTATGAAGTTGATTTCAAATAAATCAAACTTTTGTTCTGATTAATTTATAAATGAATTGAATTTGAGTTTATAAAAACTAAATCCTATTCTTTAATAATTGAAATTTAATAATATTTACAAAGAAAATAAAGAACCAATAGAATTTTCAAAAATTAGTGAAGAAAAACTAAATTTGGTTGAAGAGTATGTTAAACATTCGATATAATTAACATCTGATTAATAATATGAAAACTCAACAAAGAATATGTTGGAATTAAAGTAAATTAATGAGATAATGAATTCTAAATTGAATTTCTTAAATAAAGAATTTATTTAAAAATTTGAAAAGTGGACATTTGAGATATATCCATTCTTAAAATAGATAAATTTCTAAAGATGTATTTAAGATAAAAATAAATTTGATTTGCTTAAAAATTTGCAAGATAATAGGATAAATGAATTAATGATGGTCGCTTAATAGGGATTATTTTATTTAAATCTAAATTTTTTTGGAACTAAATTTTAAAATAAGTAAAATGCCTTCGTAGTAACTAAAAATATAAATAATAAATATATAATTACAAAAATAAATAGTAATAGTTGGGCTTGTTGTATTTCAAGTTTAGATTTACAAAAGGATTTAAAATATGTTTTTAGGATATAACTTGAAAAAATTAATGAAACAGACGTATTTATTGTTGGTCTAATGAGAAATTCTATCTCTAAAGACTCAGGTGGGTGGGAAGATTACTTGAGTTGTGAACTTTAGAACTAAAGTGAATATTTAAAAATAAGTACTAATTATGGAATAAATAATTTATTAAAAGGAGTAAGTGAATTTTAGGCAAAAAAAGATGGTGTGCTAGAAATACGAGTGTGTTTAAAAGAAAAATTATTAGAAGTAACTGATTATCCTAATTATCAGTATAAACTAGGATTGGAAGATCAGTATAAATCTAAACTTGAATAATATAAAGATTTAAGATTTTATTTAGCTTTTGATACTTCTGATATCTAAATATGCTTAAAAGATGCTGAAATTGTTAATGAATTCAAAGATTGATTAATTTGAGATCAATAAAATTTCTAAAGAAATTAGTAAAAAATAAAAACGAAAAGTTTATTATAAATTTATTTAAATTATTTTTATATATTGATTATTTAACTTTGATACATAAATGGTTTATTTTACTTTTTATTTTATGATGTTTGACAGAAATGTTGCATTTATTTTTTATTTATTTAATTAGTATAACATTAATAATAAAAATGATTTTTTACTTCAAAATTGCTTTGCAAATTTTCGCTAGTGATCTTGATTTTAACACTATATTTTTCAGCTTCTGCCAAAGATTAATAAAATATGAAACAAACTAAATGATGCTTATGATAAATAATTAATTAATTAATGTATATTTATCTCTATGCATATTTATCAAAAGACTATTTATTCATCAGTAAAATTTATTTGCATAAAAAATCTATCATAAATATTATAGTACAAGTTAGTTTTGATAATAAATAAATAAATAATTCATTTAAATTTATTAAAAAAGTAAATTTGAATTTTTAATTTATTTTGTACAAATCCATATAAAATTTTTAAAAAAAATTTATTATTCATTCGTTAGAAAAATTAAAAAAAAATTTTTTATTCTAAAAATTTGAAAAAGACTTTAAAAATTTTTATTAATTAGTATTCCTTTAAAAACGAAAAAGAAATTATTAAGCTAAATACAAAAAAAATTAACAAGTAATTTAATATTCATTTGAAATGTATGTCACTAATCATGATATTATGGTTAGCTATACTTGAAATACAGCAAAAGATATATTAAAAGAAAATATTTGTCAAGTAAATTTGTGATAGAGATAAACAGATTTTAATTAGTACTTTTATTTGTTATTTTAATTACTCAATTATATTTGATTATTTTATTTTTTTACATTTTATTTATAAATTTATAAATACTTACAAAAATTAGTAAAAGTAATAGCTATTTCTTTCTTTCCAAATATTTTAGTTTCATCTTGGTTATAAAATGGACAAAACAAGCTTTTAGACCCTAAAATGCCACAAACATCAAAAAAAGCATCTTTAATTCGTTTAAGTGAATGATATTCTAAACTAACAAAGTTAAAACAAACAGCTTTTCTACTGTTCTTCATGCTTCAACCATGATCTTGAATTTAAATCAATTAATTTTCTCATGATTGATTAGATTCTCTAAGAAGCAGAAACCAACATCATCCCAAAATGGCCTCCAGTCAACAATTACAAGATTATTTAAGACCTAATAGATCTCACTTCTAAAGAATCTGAGTTGAATTACGAAAAATAAATTATTGATTTCTTTAATGAGTTCAAAGAATAGCTTTTAGCAAAAATAGACATTATTTAAAAAAAAATGATCAACGAAACTCATAAGTACCCAATAGATAATCATCAAATTATCAAAAAATATTAAGAAATTTCAAATATCCTTTAATTTAAGCAACTTCTTATGAATGAATAGGGAAGAAATCTCGAAGAGCATTCAACTCTTTGTAGGTAATTCATCTAACAAATAGAATCTTAAAAAGATACAAATACTAAATTATTGCAAAGTCTACTTACTTAATCTAACTAATTGTAAAAAAGCTTCAATTTAGAGTATCCAACTATAATTAAATAGCAATTATTCACTCTAATTGATTCAATTTCCTTCTTTAATTAAGATATATCTTAAATTAGTCTAAATCAAAGTAATTAAGACTCTTAACAATCTAACATTAACTCTCAAAATAGTAATAAAATAACAGCTGACTTGATTATGAAGTTGATTTCAAATAAATCAAACTTTTGTTCTGATTAATTTATAAATGAATTGAATTTGAGTTTATAAAAGCTAAATCCTCTTCTTTAATAATTGAAATTTAATAATATTTTCTAATAAAATAAAGAGCCAATAGAATTTTCAAAACTAAGCGAAGAAAAACTAAATCTGATTGAAGAGTATGTTAAACATTCAATATAGTTAAGATCTGATTAATAGTATGAAAACTCAACAAAGAATATGTTGGAATTAAAGTAAATTAATGAGATAATGAATTCTAAAATGAACTTCTTAAACTAAGAATTTATTTAGAAATTTGAAAAGTGGACAGTTGAGATGCATCCATTCTTAAAATAGATAAATTTCTAAAACTGTATTTAAGATTAAAATAAATTTGATTTGCTTAAAAATTTGCAAGATAATAGGATAAATGAATTAATGATGTTCGCTTAGAAGGGATTATTTTATTTAAATCTAAATATGGTTGGAACTGAATATGAATAAAATGCCTTCGTAGTAACTAAAAATATAAATAATAAATATATAATTACAAAAATAAATAGTAATAGTTGGGCTTGTTGTATTTCAAGTTTAGATTTGCAAAAGGATTTAAAATATGTTTTTAGGATATAACTTGAAAAAATTAATGAAGGAAACGAATTTGTTGTAGGTCTAATGAGAAATTCTATCTCTAAAAATAGAGGTGGGTGGGAAGATTACTTGAGTTGTGAACTAAAGAATTAAAGTGAATATTTAAAAATAAGCTATAATTAAGGAATAAATAATATACTAAAAGGAGTAAGCTAATTTTAAGCAAAAAAAGATGGTATACTAGAAATACGAGTGTGCTTAAAAGATCAATTATTAGAATTGACAGATTATCCTAATTATGAGTATAAAATAGGATTGGAAGATAAGCATAAATCTAAACTTGAATAATATGAAGATTTAAGATTTTATTTAGGTTTTTAATAATCTGATATATAAATAAGCATAAAAGATGCCAAAATTGTTAATTAATTCAAAGATTGATTAATTTGAGATCAATAAAAGTTAAAAAGAAATTAGTAAAGAATAAAAACGAAAAGATTATTATAAATTTATTTAATTTATTTTTATATATTAATTATTTAACTTTGATACATAAATGGTTTATTTTACTTTTTATTTTATGATTTTTGACACAAATGTGCCATTTATTTTACTTCAAAATTGCTTTGCAAATTTTCTTTAACGATCTTGATATTAACACAATATTTTTCAGCTTCTTCCATAGATAGATTGATAAAATATAAAAACATATTAATTAATTGCTGCTTATGATAAATAATTCATTAACATATATTTATCTATTTGCATATTTATCAAAAAACTATTCATCAGTAAAATTTATTTGCATCAAACATCTATGTTAAATAATATAGTACTAAAATAGTTAGTTTTGATAATAAATAAATAAATAATTCATATAAATTTTTTTAAAAAAGTAAATTTGAATTTTTGATTTTAGGACTAAAATAGAAAAATATTCTTAATAAAAACATTTTATAAAAGCATAATTACTTACTATATTTTTTCAACATTTGATTACCAATATTTGATTCTTGTATTATTTTTAAATATAAGCTTTAATAGAAATATTAAGATTTAATAATGAGTGATACACTAACTAACTAACTAACTAACTAACCAACTAACTAACTAACTAACTAACTAACTCTTAAAAGCTAATTTATAAATTTATATTAGATAATTATTATAATTTATTAATATATTTATTTTTTCTTTTAATAAAATTTAATTAGATATAAAGTTAATTAATTAATTAATATACTTATAATTAACTAAATTTCACTTAATTATTTTTCAATATTTTTGAAAATAAAAAATAAATGACAGAAGAGATAAAATATTTTGACAATCTAAAAGAAGTAAATATTATTATTTTAATAATATTCTTTAAATTTAATTTTATTAATATAAAAAGTTTTTAAAGTCTTCACTTTAATCGCATCAGTTACTCGATATTAATCTAACAAAAGTGACTATGTAATTTATTATTCTTATTATTAATATATATTATACTTAATCCCAAGGTTATTTACAATACTATTTTTCAAATGAAATTCTCATCATCTATATTCTCTCATTTATTTTTATTTATCAAAATATTTTTTAATTATTTTACATTTAATTTACACTTAATTTTATTTTGATTATTAATTATTTATTTTTTTATATTTGATATTTTTCTTCATTTTTGTCCTTTTAACTAACTATTTAACTTTGTATTTTTTCTTTAATATGTAAAATATAAAATTAATTGGAATTTTTTTTCTAGAGATTATTTTCTTTCTTTGCTAATTTAACTTATTTTTTGATTTTCAACCTTTGATTTTATTATTATTAATTAATTTATTCGTTTCTTATAATACAAATTATTTCTTCATTTTTTCCTTCTATCTAATTAATTATATATTTTTTTTTAATAGTTTATAAAGCGAAACTCGTTTAGGTTCTATTTTAAGAAAGTTTCTTAATCTCTTAAAATTTTTTAATCGAAGGTAAAAATAATTTAATTGATTTGGATTCTGATAATTTTTTTATTAGCTTCTTGTTTGATTTATTTTTCTTTTTTATTCTATTTGTTATTTTTTTTATTTATTAGTTTATTAATTTACTTAAATTTTTCATTTTGAATACTTGCTTTTATTATTAATTATTAATTCAATTTCATAGTTTTTCTTCATTTATTCTTTCTTTCTAACTAACTAATTAAATAACTAAGTATATTTATTTTTTCTTCAATATTTAAATAGTAACATTAATGTTGGATCAAGTATAGGTTCTGGTTTATCAAAATGCGTTAATCTCTTAAACTTGAAACTTTATCTTAAGTAAAAATAGTTTGTTTGCTTTAGATTGTGATATTTTTGAAAATAAAAATGAATTTAAATCAATATAACTAACTCATTTATTTATTTATTAGCTATTTATTTGATTTATTTTTCTTTTTATCTTTTTTTTGTTTACTTCTTTGTTTATTAATTTAACTCATATTTTAATATTCAAATTTTCTTTTCTTATTAATTTTATCATTCATCTCCTATTATTTCATATTTTTTCTTCATTTTTTCCTCTCAATGAACAAACGAATTAACTCTTTATTTTTTATTCTAAATTAAAAAGTAAAAATTAAATTGGTGATGATGGTGCATCAGGCTTAGGTTCTGGATTATCAAAGTGCACTAATCTCTCAAATTTGACACTTGAACTAGGGTAAAAACAGTTAATTTGTTTTGGATTGTGATATTTTTGAAGATAAAAAGGAATTTAAATCAATATAATTAACTAATTTATAATATTTAAAAAGTTCTAATTAAATTGGTGTTGAAGGAGCATCAGGCTTAGGTTTTGGCTTATCAAAATGCACTAATCTCTCAAATTTGTCACTTGACCTAAGGTAAAAACAGTTTGTTTGCTTTGAATTAATTATGTCATTTTTGAATATTAAAATTAATTTAAATCATTTTAATTAACTCATTTATTTATTAGCTTTTTATTTGATTTCTTTTTCTTATTATATTTTATTGTTCTTGCTTTTTTTTGTTTATTTTCTTGTTTGTTTATTAATTTAACTCATATTTTAATTTTAAAGTCTTACTTTTCTTATTAATTAAATCATTCATCTCTTATTATTTCATTCATTTTTTTTCTTCATTTTTCCCTCCCTCCCTCCCTCCCAACTAACAAACTAATTAACTTTTTATTTTTTCTTGAATATTTAAAAAGTTAAAATTAAATTGGCGTTGAAGGAGCATCAGGCTTATGTTTTGGCTTATCAAAGTGCACTAACCTCTCAAATTTAACACTTTATCTAAGGTAAAAACAGTTTATTATCTTTGGATTGTGTTATGTTTGAATATAAAAATGAATTTAAATAATATAACTAACTCATTTATTTATTAGCTTTTTATTTGATTTATTTTTCTTTTTATATTTTATTGTGCTTGCTTCTTTTTGTTTATTTCCTTGTTTATTAATTTTACTCATATTTTAATTTTCAAATTCAACTTACAAACTAATTAACTTTTTATTTTTTCTTCAATATTTAAAAAGTTTTAATTAAATTGGTGAAAAAGGTGCATAAAGCTTAGGTTCTGGTTTATCAAAATGCACTAATCTCTCAAATTTGACACTTTTTCTAACGTAAAAACTGTTTTTTTGCTTTGGATTGTGATATTTTTGAATATAAAAATGAATTTAAATTAATATAAATTAATCATTTATTTATTTATTTGATTTATTTTTCTTTTTATTTTTTATTCTGCTTGCTTTTTTTTGTTTATTTCCTTGTTTGTTAACTAAACTCATATTTTAAAATTTTAATTTTCTTATTAATTAAATCATTCATTTTTTATTATTTCATTTTTTTTAAAATTTTTCCCTCCCAACTAATAAACTTTTTTTTTTCTTGAATATTTAAAAAGTTCTAATTAAATTGGTGCTGAAGGTGCATCAGGCTTAGGTTCTGGATTATCAAAGTGCACTAATCTCTCAAATTTGATACTTGAACTAGGGTAAAAACAGTTAATTTGTTTTTGATTGTGATATTTTTGAATATAAAAATGTATTTAAATAAATATAACTAACTCATTTATAATATTTAAAAAGTTCTAACTAAATTGGTGTTGAAGGAGCATCAGGCTTAGGTTTTGGATTATCAAAGTGCACTAATCTCACAAATTTGAAACTTAGACTATTGTAAAAACAGTTTATTTGCTTTGGATAGTGTTACTTTTAAATATAAAAATGAATTAAAATCAATATAATTAACTCATTTATTTATTAGCTTTTATTTGATTTATTTTTCTTTTTATTTTTTATTCTGCTAGCTTTTTTTTGTTTATTTCATAGTTTATTCATTTAATTAATATTTTTAATTTTCAAATTTTACTTTTATTATTAATTAAATCATTCATTTCTTATTATTTCATAATTTTTCTTCATTTTCTCCTTTCAACTAACAAATATTAACTTTTTATTACTTCTTCAAAATTTAAAAAGATCTAATTAAATTGGTAACGAATGGAATGGAATACTCGCACATAAATATGCACTCAGAATACATCTTAATTAAATTATATTATAGAAAAACAATTTTATATATTTTATTTTATTTATTTTTTTGTGTTAATCTGTAGGTCTAGATAAGGGTTTTCAAAGCAATTTGTTTATTTATTTAATTCAAATATATTATTCATCTCTTATTATTTCATATTTTTTCTTCATTTTTCCCTCCCTCCCTCCCAACTAACAAACTAATTAACTTTTTATTTTTTCTTCAATATTTAAAAAGTTAAAATTAAATTGGTGTTGAAGGAGCTTCAGGCTTAGGTTCTGGCTTATCAAAGTGCACTAATCTCTCAAATTTGACACTTTTTCTAAGGTAAAAACTGTTTGTTTGTTTGCTTGCTTTGGATTGCGATATTTTTGAATATAAAAATGAATTTAAATCATTTTAACTAACTCATTTATTTATTAACATTTTATTTGATTTCTTTTTCTTTTTATTTTTTATTCTGCTTGTTTTTTTTGTTTATTTCTTTGTTTGTTAATTTAACTCATATTTAATTTTAAAATTTTACTTTTATTATTAATTAAATCATTTATTTCTTATTATTTCATATTTTTTCCTCATTTTTTCCTTTCAACTAACAATCTAATTAACTTTTTATTATTTTTTGAAAATTTTAAAAGTTTTAATTAAATTGGTGACAAAGGTGCATCAGGCTTAGGTTCTGGTTTATCAAAGTGCACTAATCTCTCAAATTTGACACTTGACCTATGGTAAAAACAGTTTCTTTGCTTTTGATTGTGTTATTTGAATATAAAATGAATTTAAACAATTTAACTGAATAATTTATTTATTAGTTATTTATTTTTCTTTTTATTTTTTATTCAACTTAATTTTTTTTGTTTATTAATTTAGCTCATATTTTAATTTTAAAACTTTACTTCTCTTATTAATTAATCATTAATTTCTTATTATTTCATATTTTTTCTTCATTTTTTCCTCCCAACTAACAAACTAATAAACTCCTTATTTTTTCTTTAATATTTAAAAAGGGGAACTTAAATTGGTATTGATGGCGCATCAGGCTTAGGTTCTAGCTTATCAAAGTGCCCTAATCTCTTATATTTAACACTTTATATAAGGTAAAAAAAATTTATTTATTTATTTCGGGTTGTGATAATTTTGAATATAAAATAAATTTAAAATAATATAACTAACTCTTTTAAGCTTTTTATTTTATTTATTTTTCTTTTTATTTTTAATTCTGATAATTTTTAATATAATTGATTTAAAATTAAATATAATATTTTATTTAAAAATTTTATTCTATTTATTTTTTTTTTAGTTATTTACACTACTTTATATTAAAAGTGACTTCAAAATCAATAGATCATAATTCAAAATAAAGTTTCTTAAATTAAAAAGATTAGTTGTCTAAAAAATATGATTTGCTTGATAAAAAATTAATGCAAGGATAAATAAATATAAATATATTTGAATGAATACAATAATATTATTTATTTATTTTATTTTGTATTTATTATCAGATAATTTTACCAAAAATATATATACAGTATTTATGGTCACAAATTGCTTGAACAATCAAAAAATATAAAATATATTAATAATATTAATTATTAAAAATTTATATAAATTGGTAAAAAGCTCTTATTGAGTACACTCAGCCTCTTATAATACCTAAATAATAAGTTTTTACAAAAAAAAGACTAATGGGATTTATTTTCCTTATTGTTAAATTAAAATAGAAAAATATTCTAAAAAAAATTAATTTATTAAAATTTAACTTACTAGATTTTTTCAAAATTTGATTACCGATATTTGATTATTGTATTATTTTTAAGTATAAGTTTTAAATAGAAATATTAAGATTTAATAATAAGTGAGGCATTACATTTTTTTATTCGTATAAGCTAATTTATAAATTTGTATTTTATAATTATTATAATTTATTTATTTATTTATTTGTCCTTTTAATCCAAATTAATTTGGTATAAATTTTAATTAATAATATACTTCTAATTAACTAAATTTGGATTGATTGATTAATTACTATTCAATATTTTTGAAAATAAAAAATAAATGTAAAAAGAGATAAAATATTTCAACAATCTAAAAGAAGTAAGCATTTATTTTTTTATTAACATTCTTTAAATTTAATTTTATTAATAAAAAAGTTTTTAAACTCTTAACTTTACTCGCATTAGATTCTTCATATTGATCTGATAAAAAGGTATATTTAATTTATTATCAATCTTATTAACATTTTTATATTTAATCTACTGGTTATTTACAATATTATTTTTCTAATGAAATTCTCATCTATAAATCATTTTTCTCTCTTTTTATTTATTAATTATTTTAAATTAATTTACACGATTATTTTCATTTTTTGTTGATTTAACTTTTTTTATTTTTTAACATTTGGTTTTATTATTAATTAATTAATTAATTCCTTTCTTATTATTTCAAAATTTTTTTTTCATTTTCTCCTTCTTACTAATTAACTAACTAATTAACTTTTAATTTTTTCTTCAATATTTAAAAAGCGAAAATTAAATTGATGATAAAGGTTTAGGTTCTATTTTAAGAAAGTTCTTTAATCACTTTACTCTAAATCCAAGGTAAAAGCAATTTAATTGTTTTGGATTTTGATACATTTTAATTAGTTTTTATTGGATTCCAATTTCTTTTTTATTTTGGTATTATTTTTTTTATTAATTTATCTCGTTTGTTTTTTCATTTTGAAATTTAACTTTTATTATTAATTATTTAACTCAATTTCAAATTTTTTCTTCATATAAATAAACCTTCTAACTAACTAATTAATAACTACTTATATTTATTTTTTCTTCAATATTTAAAAAGCAACACTAAAATAACATCAGGCTTAGGTTCTGGTATAGGAAAGTGCTCTAATCTCTCTGATTTAACACTTAATCTTAAGTAAAAACAGTTTATTTGTTTTGGATTATTACATATTTAATATAATATTGAATTTAAAATAATATAACCAACTCTTTTTAAATTTATTTATTTATTAACTTTTTATTTGATTTATTTTTTTTATTTTTATTCTGATTGTTTTTTTATTTCTTTACTTGTTTATTTATTATTTAAACTCATTTTTATAATTTTCAAATTTTACTCTTATTATTAATATTTCAAATTTTTTATTCATTTTTTCCTACTTACTAACTAAATATTTTTTCTTCAATATTTAAAAAGTTCTAATTAAATTGATAATGAAGGTGTATTAGACTTAGGTTCTGGTTTAGCAAAGTGCACTAATCTCTCAAATTTGACACTTCAACTTTAGTAAAAACAATTTATTTGTTTTATAGAAATGAATTTAAAAAAATACAACTAACTAACTTTTTTAATTTATTTATTAGTTTTATTTGATTTATTTTTGCTTTTATTATTTAATCAGCTTGCTTTTTTTATTTATTTCTTTGTTTGTTAAAAAATTTAACTGATATTTTAATTTTCAAAATTTACTATCCTTATTTATTAATCCTTTATTTCTAATTATTTCATATTTTTTCTTCATTTTTACCTTCTAATAAAGAAACTAATTAACTATATATTTTTATTCAATATTTAAAAAGGCAAAGTTAAATTGATGATGAAGTGGCATCAGGCTTAGGTTCTACTTTAGGATAGTGGGATAATCTCTCAAATTTGACACTTAATCTTATGTAAAAAAGTTAATTTGTTTTGGATTGTAATATTTTTGAATATAAATTTTATTTTAAACAATTCTCTAATAAACTCTTTTAATTTATTTATTTATTAGTTTTTATTTAATTTATTTTTTATTCTTCTTGCTTGTTTTTTCGTTCGTTATTTCTTTGTTTATTTATTTATTAATTTAACTATATTTTTTAATTCAAATTTTACTTTTTTTAGTTAATTAGTATACTAATTCCTCATTATTTAATATTTTTTCTTATTTGTTTCCTTTAAACAAACAAACAAACTAATTAACTTTTTATTTTTTCTACAATATTCAAAAAGCAATAATTAAATTGGCGATGAAGGTGCCTCAGAATTAGGTTCTGGTTTAGGTAATTGCACTAATCTCTCAAATTTGACACTTAAACTTAAGTAAAACCAGTTCATTAATTTGTTTAAGATTGTGATATTTAAATATAAAAATGAATTTAAAACAATAAAACTAATTAACTAACTACTTTATTATATTTATATATTAGCTTTTTATTTGATTTTTATTTAACTTAATTAACTCTTTTTTTTAATTTTCAAATTTTATTTTTCTTATTAATTAAATAATTGATTTCTTTCTTATTTTTTCCTTCTAACTAACAAACTAATTAACTCTTTATTTTATCTTCAATATTTCAAAAGGCAGAATCATATTGGTGCAGTTGGTGCATTAGGTTTAGGTTCTGGTTTAAGAAAGTGTGCTAATCTCTAAAATTTGAAGCTTGATCTTATGTAAGCATTAATTTATTTTGGAATATGGTATTTTTGAATATAAAAATGAATTTAAAACAATAAACGAGCTAACTTTTTTAATTTATTTATTTATTAATTTTTATTTTATTTTATTTATTTTTTATTTTGCTTGCTTTAATTTCGTTTATTTCTATGTTTAATAATTGAACTCATATTTTTATTTTCAAATATACTTTCCTTATTAATTATTTTTTTCATTTCATATGTTTTCTACATTTATTTTTTCTTTCTAACTAACTAACTAACTAACTAACTAACTAACAAACTAATTAAATCCTTATTTTTTCTTTAATACTAAATAGGAATAATTTAGTTGGTGAAATAGGTGCATCAGATTTAGGTTCTGGTTTAGGGAAATGTACTAATCTCTCAAATTTGACACTTAAACTTTAGTAAAAATAATTTCTTTATTTTTTGGATTTTGATATTTTTAATATAGAAATGAATTTAAAACAATATAACTAACTAACTAACTAATCAACAAATTATTTTAGTTTATTTATATATTAACTCTTTGTTTGTTTGTTTATTTATTTTTCTTTTTATTATTTACTCTGCTTGCTTTTTTTTCTTTATTTATTTGTTTATTAATTTAAATCATTTTTATATTTTACTTTCTTATTAATTAAATCATTCATTCATATCTTGTTTTTTCTTCATTTTTTCCTTCTAACTAACTAATTAACTCTTTATATTTTCTTCAATATTTAAAAAAGGAGGAATAAGATTGGTGATGAAGGTACATCAGGCTTGGGTTCTGGTTTAGGGAGGTGTGTTAATCTCTCAAATTTGACACTTAAACTTGAGTAAAAATAGTTACTTTGTTTTTTCAATATAAAAATGAATTTAAAACAATATAACTAAATAACTAAATAACTCTTTTAATTTATTTATTTTTCTTTTAATTTTTAATTTTTCCTACTTTTTTTCCTTTATTTTTATGTTTATTAACTAAACTCATATTTTATTTTCCTTATTTATTAAATCAATTATTTGTTATTATTTATTTTTTTTTATTCTCTGATAATTAATTATTTCTCTAGTAGGAAATATATATTAAGTAAAATAATAATAAAAAAGGAAACTATCAAAATAGGTTTCGAACCTGAACAAACAAAAAAAATAACTAAAAAATGTTTAATCAAAGGTTTAATTTGTTTGTTTGTTTGTTAGTGAAGAAATCTAAATAATTTTTTAATTTCATCAAAAAACAAAGAAACAAACAAATTAATTTTTTGATTAAAAATTTTTTATTTTTTTCTTTTGTCAGGTTGGTTCAAAACAAACCTCTGGTTTAAAAACCTTTTTTTTATTTCTTTTAATTTTTTTTATTTTTTATTAAACAATATTTATTATTCTACTAATTTATTTCTAACTCAAGAAATAATTATCCAAGAATAGCTTTTATATTTTTTCCTTCTAACTAACTAACAAACCAATTAACTCTTTTTTTTTCTTCAATACATAAAAAGGTATAATTTAATTGGTGAAATTGGTGCATAAGGGTTAGGTTTTGGTTTATCAAAGTGCGCTAATCTCTCAAATTTAACAGTTTAACTAGAGTAAAATTAGTATTTTTGCTTTGGATTGTGATATTTTTGAATATAAAAATGAATTTAAAACAAACAGCAAACTATTTTAATTTATTTATTTATATACATATATTAGCTTTTTATTTTATTAATGTTTCTTTTTATCTTTTACTCTGCTTATTTATATTTATTTATTTATTTATTTATTTATTTATTTATTTATTTATTTATTTATTTTTGATTAATTTAATTCATATTTTTTCTTCACTTTTTCCTTCTAACAAACTAATTAACTTTATATTTTTTCTTCAATATTTGAAAAGTTGGAATTAAATTGTTGATAAAGGTTCATCAGGCTTAGGTTCTGGTTTAGGGAAGTGTGCTAATCTCTCAAATTTGACACTTAAACTTGAGTAAAAATAGTTAATTAATTTGTGATCTTTTTTTGAAAATAAAAATGAATTTCAAATAAAAAAACTCACTCTTTTAATTTTTTAATTATTTAAAAGCATTTTATTTGATTTATTATCTTTGTATTTTTTATTTTGCTTGCTTTTTTCTTTATTTCTTTTTTTATTAATTTAACTCATATTTTAACTTTCAAATTTTACTTTTCTTATTTATTAAATATTATTTCATATTATTCCTTCGCTTTTTACTTCTAACTAACTAACTAATAACTAACTAACTAAAAAACTAATTAACTTTTTATTTTTATTCAATATTTAAAAAGGAATAATTTAATTAGTGCAATTGGTGCATCAGAGCTGGGTTTAGGTTTAGGGTAGGGCACTAATCTCTAAAATTTGACACTTCAACTTTAGTAAAAATAATTTATTGGTTTTAGATTTTGGTATTTTTAATATGGATGGATATGAATTTAAAACAAAACAACTAAATAATTAATTATTTTAATTTATTTATTAACTTTTATTAGATTTATTTTTCTTATTATTTTTTGTTTTGTTTGGTTTTTTCCTTTATTTGTATATTGATGAGTTTTAATCATATTTTTATTTTGAAAAGTTACTTACTTTCTTTATTTTTTAAATCAAACATTTCTTATTATTTCATATTTTTTCTTCATTTTTTCCTTTTAACTAATAAGCTAATTAACTCTATTTTTAAAAAGGTGGAATTAAATTGGTGATGAAGGAGTATCAGGGTTAGGTTTTGGTTTAGGGAAATGCTCTAAACTCTAAAATTTGACACTTAAACTTTAGTAAAAATATTTAATTTATTTTGGATAGATAAATTTTTATAAAATTAATGTAAAAAAGTATAACTAACTAACTAACTAACTAACTCTTTTAATCTATTTATTTATTAGATTTATATTTGATTTATTTTTGATTCTTAATGCTTTTTTTTCCTTTATTTGTATGTTTAGTAATTTAACTCATATTTTTATTTTCAAATTTTACTTTTCTGAAAAATAAAAATGATTTATTTCTTATTAATTAATATTTTTTCTTTATTTTTTCCTTCTAACTAACAATATTAATTACTTTGTCCTAAAACTTTTAATTTTTTCTTAAATATTTAAAAAGGTATAATTAAATTGGTACAAATGGTTTATCGGGCTTAGGTTCTGGTTTAATGAAGTGCACTAATCTGTAAAATTTGACACTTAAACTTTAGTAAAAACAATTAATTTGTTTTAGATAAGCTGTGATATTTTTGAATATATAAAAATGAATTTAAAACAACATTACTAACTTTAATAATTTATTAGCTTTTTATTTGATTTATTTTTAATTATGTTAATCTGTTTTATTTAAAGATTTCAAAAAAAACATTTTATTTAAAAATTTGATTCTATTAACTTATTTTTAATAATTTACACATATTTATATTAAAAGGGACTACTAAATGTATATATTATAAGAACTAAAGGCAAAGTTTCTTAAGTCAAAAAGATTAATTACCATTTAAATAAGTAATTAATGATAAAAATTGATGAAAAAAAGGATGGATAAATATAAATCTATATGAATGAATACTACAATATTATATAATATATTTTATTTTGTTATATTTTATAATTGGATAATTTACCTAAAATATACATCATAATTAAACATTTCTTCCTTAATAAAAAAATATAAAATATATAGCTAAATACCTAATTAAAATCTAGAGATATGGCAACAAACCTCTAGCTAGCTAGATATGAATTAATTAGGCTAGGTTTTTAAATAAAAATATTCTTTTTAAATAATTTTATAATAGAATTAAAATGAAAATTTTTTTTCAAATAATTCTCACCCTCAAAGTTAGGACCTCCCACCTGAAAGAGTTGAAATACTCACACATATTTATTAATATGCGAATTAATCAAAGGTTAATTCATCTAAATTTTCTTATAATATTTAAATAAACTACTTATTATTCACCTAAAATTCAATCTTATGTAATGGAAAAGGGATAAACAATTCAAATTTACACTTAATAATAATCACATTTAGCACTGATTTCTCGAGTTTTAAATAGCAGTTTAAGTAATTATTGTTTGAATTTGACTTATTTATATAGAATATTAATAATATACATGCATATACTTTCTTTCTACTCTCAAAGTAAAAGTAGAAATTAGCTTAAATTTAGCTATGTTTAGGCAATTAACAAGAATTTTAATTTAAATTGAGGGATATAAAATTCAAATTTACGCTTAATAGTGATGACATTTAGCACTGACTTCTCTAGTTTTAAATAGCAGTTTAAGTAATTTTTGTTTGAATTTGACTTATTTATATAAAATATTAATAACATAATTTCATTCTACTTTCGAAGTAAAGGTAGAAATTAGCTTAAATTTAGCTGTGTTTATGCATTTAGCAATAATTTTAATTGAATGATAATTAATAGAAAGGAATAGATATTTTTTATTATTTTAAAGCAAAAATAATTTTATTGAAATGAAACAAAGAAAGAGTTTTCAGATAATTTACAAAAAATATTTTATTAATATAATTTAGATGGATTTATATGAGCTCTTATTGGATTTAATTAAAAATGAGTATACACAAAACAACAGTAAATAAAATTTAAAGAAATATAGTCAATCATCTCTGAATTTATAGCTGCCATACTAAAAGACGTTTGATTAAATTCTAGTTTAAATAGAAATTTAGTAAATTTTAGAGTAAAAATAAGGCATGAACTTTTTTAGTTAGAGCATCTCTATAGATCTATAGAGAGTTTTGTAGAATTTCTTGGAGATATTGATTGATTTTAAGAAAATCTGTGATTTCTTAGTGCAAGGTTGCATAAAATCATTAAAATCTGTTCTGTTATGAAGATTTATTTTAGTCTGCTTGATGAAAAAAAAAGGTAAAATATACCATAATCCACATTGCTCTAGATCTAATATTAGTAAAAAGGTTCTTCACTAAGATAAACCTTATATTAGAGATACCATAAAATCGAATGTAACTCTGATTATTCAGAAACAATTGCTTACCTATAGTAAAATAAATAACTATTTTAAATGTTTTTAACCAGGACAGATTATTAAAAGAACAAATAAAACAAATGATTCTTTAGGGATTATATTCAATTAATTTGATTTTAAGAAGACTTGTACCTTTTATCTTGAATTTTCATATTAGTAATTCATCTATATGGAATACTTTGAATAAAATGTAAATTCATAATTAATTAATCAAAACATTAATCAAATTTAAAAGAGATAATCGCATGCGTATAGATGGATTTAGAGTAGGAATTACTCTTAAACTTAAAACTATCGTTATTGCTTTATATAAAGGAGTCTGTCTGTCTGCGTTAATAAATGTCCAACTAATACTTTTAAAAATCCTGAAAACGTAATTAATTATCTATTTCTTTCTTTCTATTTTAGTTTAATTGGAAGGTCTATATATAATTCATTCAAATAAAAAATAAAAAGACAGTGACTGATCTATTATTAACATACAAAATAAGCATTCAATCAATAAATAAATAAATCAATGGATCAATATTCAACTTTATTCTTATCTTTCATTTAAATTGTGAATTTTTTATTTTTTTAATTATCATTTTTTGAGCTGAATTTGCAAATTTAAAAGCTTTTTCAATATATTTTGTTAATAAAGTTGCTTTCATATATATGATTAAATTAGATTTGATAAAAATTTTTTTCTTTGTTTATTAGTTTATGAATTGCTTTCATATTTTAATTAACTTTCATATTTGTTTAAAGTTTTACATACAGACATACATACATTGCAATACAAAGCAATTTCATTATTTTTTTTAGACGGACTTTCCAATATTGTTTAAATTTGCTATCATATCTATTTACATAATGATTCCTATCTTTTATTATTTATGCTAAGCTAGCTAAAATATTAGCGACATAATAAATAGCTAATTTAAGCTATGATTCCTTTATTTTACAATTCAAAAAATTTATCAATAATTTAGGAAGAATTTGAAAAATTTTATATGACTATGTATGACATTGTATTGTTAATTTTTATAAAGAATTAATTAATCATTTTATTTTAAAAATTTTTTACAAAACAAATAATTAACTTTTTTTAACATAAAATATTTTTTTATTAATTTATTTCAAAATATTATTTTATAAATTAGATTTGATTAATTGCCCATAGGCATATTTAAATTTAGATGATCTAATCATTTCCAATTATTTACTCTAATTATTTTGCTAGCTTTTAAAGTTCATCAAAATAATATTATTATAGATGGGATAGATGTTTTGAGTAATAAGGTAATTTGTGTTTTCCATATAATTACCATTCTAATTACAGCTAAATAATCCTAATTTTAAATACTATTTCTCTATTACAGCTCATTTTTTACTCATAAATACTATTAACAGGTCTAATTTTAAGTTATTTTATTGGCAAATTCATCATCAACATATGCATTTTATTACGAAAAATAATATTTAATTATTTTTGTCTCAAGGACTGAGTCATTCATTCATTCATTCATTCATTCATTTTCTTACTTAAATTAGTAATCTTGAGAACCTTAGATAAAGCTATTTTAAAGGAAATTTTTCAAGATATAAATAAATCATTAAGAACTAAGTTTAGTATATATTTAATAAATAGAGGTGTTTTTGATAAGGAATTGCTCCAAACATGTGCTTGCTTTGAGAGGAAAGGACTCTTTTTTTAAATCAGATGTTACATAATTTTTTATATTAATGTAAAAACAAATATTAATTGGCTGTATGAAAATTCTAATAGGATTCATCTAAAAATAATTTTAACAATTTTCTGTCCAATTAGTTAGTTGCCTCTTTTGTAAATTAAAAATTTTTATAATTTTCAATCATCAGTTAAACAAAAAGTATTTGGCTATTTGTAGCATAATATGCATTATTAGAGTAAAAAATTTAAAAAGGTTGATAATTAATTAGGTATATTTAGGATTAAATTACACATCTTTAATCATGTCATTCATTGAAATTTAAATTTTATTAACAACTTTGATAACTATTTAAGATTTTTAGACAATATAAAACAGAAGTGTTTGTTGGCTCTAACAATAATAATTAACATAATGAGTTTTTGGTGTAATAATTGCTACTAGTTCTATTATAATAACAGTAATAACTATTTATTAATTGAGTAATAAATATTATTCACAAAGAAAGTAAAAGTTATATATAATTTTTCAGTGTAACAAGAAACTTAAAAAGTAAAATACACCAATAAAATCTAAAAAAATATCAAGATGAAAAATAAATTTTTCGAGAAAGGAAAATTATCTTAGGTTTATTTAATTCTAAATAAATAGACTACATAATTTGGTGGTTTTATAAACAAAAATCCATTTCAAAATAAATTAAAAAGCACTTTAGTTTATTTTTTATGTTATATTATTTATTGCTTTATAAATATACAAGTTATTAAACAAAAAAACAAACAAATAAATTATTTAATTTATTAACAAAGAAACAAAAATTAGCATCGATTTACTAGAAATTCCATTTTATTTTGAATTCAAAAAAGATTTTCCAAATATGTAAAATTTTAGTTTATTAGAACGAATTTTAATTATTTAATTTTTTTTGCATGATATTTTATTTCAATTAAAAATAAGAAATTTCAAAAGCTTTTAGAATTAATAAAACAAACAAACAAACAAACATTTACTTTTTAAAAATTGTTAAGGATTTATATTGGATTTTATAATCTAGACTTTATTTAAATAAAATATTTTCAATTTTAAAATAAATAAATTAATAAATAAAAAAAAATATTTTAATTAATTCAAATTTTTTGTTAATACATAAATATAACATAAATTTAGTTATTTAATAACAAAAAACTTTCTATCTAATTGTTTATTCAAAAAAGCAAAATTAAACAATTTTTTTTTTCTATATGTAATGGAATTCTGAAATATCCTTTATGCATGTAAAAAAGTGTAAAGAGGTTTTGAGTTAGATTATAAAGCATGATTGATTGATTATTAATGAGTTTATTAGTTTTTTTAAAGTCAATTTAATTAGTGTAAAATATATCATTATTAATTAATTAATTAGCCTTACAAAAAGACATATTAGATAAATAAATAAATAGTAAGTAGAAGCAATTAAAAAAATGAACATTTTGGTTATTAGCTTGTTATTAATAGCTTTAAACTAAATACAAGCAGGAATAGGAACAGATTATACTTGCAACCATGATTTAGAAAACCACGCAACAAATGTTCCTCCGAATTTTCTTGAGGAATTTGAAAAAAATTACGGAAAGAGATTATTGTAATCTAAGCCAAACGAGTAGCCAATTAGGTTAACATTTGATTTTACGCAGCTATCAAATGCTTAAAATGGATTTGGTATGAATGACTATATAAGAAACTACATAATTAATATAGTGAAAGCAGCTTAAAGGTATTTTAGGAGCTTTATCAAAGTAATCCCAAGGACTAAGCCAATTAAATCTTTAAATTATGGATCATGTGGAAATCCTCCATTTGTGGTTCACTATCCTCCAGAACTCTAAGGAAACGGGAAAGGTATTGAAAATTCAGACTTGCACATACTAGTAACATATTATAACGATAAAAATACAGGAGAGATAGCAAGTGCAGGTATTTAATTTATTTTGGGTTTTTAATTGAGTTAGTTTGAAATTTCCAAAAATTGCTTCATTATTAGAAAGACGCTTTTGTTTGTTTGTTTGTTTGTTAAACAATATAGACTTTTAAGTTATTTACTATTTACTTCACTATAAATACTCCTTTTTTTGCATATAACTATAATTTTAGAGCAATATACAAAAACTAAAAGACAATATAAATCAATAAATAAAAACATTAAATATTTTTGAAATCTCCAATTTGATCCATATAATTAAAAAAAAGACTTTACTTATTCAATAACTTACTGAAAGTAGCAATTCTAAATAAAGATTAATTGCTACACGAATTATTAAAATGAGCCAAAATAAATAAATAAATTTGCTAATATTTCACTAAGTATAATTTATAAATCTTAAATAAATAAAATGAATTAATATTTTTTAAATTTTTTTACTTATATTTAAAAACCAAAAAATTTAACAATTTTTTTAACTTAGCAAAGAAAAATTATTTATTTACAAATATGTTTGAAAATAATTTTTTTATCTTAAATTTTTGAATAAAATAAATAAATTAGTTATAAAAAAATTAAATTTAACACTTTTAAAAAATATAAACAAGGATGGTGTGACTTAGACCCTAACCCAATAATTGGTAGAATTAGATTTAACCTTGCTTTTTTAAATACAACATAGAGTAACAGACATTTTCAAGATAATTTTGTATTAGCTTTACATGAATTAACTCATGTTATGGGTTTTTCAAATCAACTTTATTAGTATTGGATTGATCCATAAACCGGGAAGCCATATGGAGTTGATAGAGTTTACAAAACAGAAAACTTGTGGGGAATATCAAATGTTTTTAAAATAATTACCAAAAATGTAGTTAAAACAGCAAAAAATCACTACGCTTGTCCTTACATTAATGGAATGTTTTTAGAAAATTAAGGTGGATCAGGATCTAAAGGTTCTCATTGGGAAAAGGATTTAATCAGAAATGAGTATATGGCAGCATAATAGATTTTAGGAGGTGTTGCTATAACTGAGTTTACTGCAGCACTATTAAGAGATACAGGATTCTACTCTAGTATAAATAGTAATGTACTTAATCCCCTCTTTTGGGGAAAAAATAAAGGATGTGAATTTTATAATAACACCTGCAAATCATATTAAAAGTTTGCAGAATTTCCAAAAGACATTGTTGGCAAAAGAAGTTGTGATTTTTATCAAACAGGTAGTGGAGTTGTTGCTTATATAATGGATATTTTTTCTTAATGTCCAGTCATCTTTAGTTTTCAAAACTAATTTTGTTCAGATCCATCTTTTTAACCTGATTAATCTATTAGATAAAATCCAGGTCCAAATTCATTTTGCTTAAATTCAAATTTAGCTGAAAAAGGTGTTCATAAAGATGCTGGCAATCAGAGATGTCATAAGATAAAATGTAATTCTGATTTTTCATAAATAACTATCTACACATGGTAAGATGAGTATGTAACATGTAAATATCCTGGACAAGCCATTGATGTATCTAAACTAAAAAAAGGTGTTTTTGGAACTATCTTCTGTCCTTTAGATTTTGAATAGACTTGCACATTTCCCTAAGATTGTCCCAATTTATGCTCTTCATAAGGAGTTTGCATGAATGTAAATAATAATCCAATTTAAAAATCTAAGTAAACAATATTTTATTATATATAGGGATATTGCATATGTGTAGATGGATATGCTGGTATTGACTGCTCATATAAATGTCCCTTTCCAACAGCTTTTTATTAAGGAACTTGTGTCTAAAAATGCCCAGCAAATACATTCAAAAATCCTGACAATGTAAACATTCCAAAAACAAACCATAAAATTTAAATTTTCTCCATAAAATATCTTTTCAATAGAAATTAAAATCAAAAAAATTTAAATAATTTCAAAAAGAAAAAATATTTTTTATCTAAGAAAATAAATTGATTTTAAATTATCTTCTTAATTTTCTTGTTAAAGGCATAAAAAATTTTAAATTCAAAAAAATAGAATTTATTAAAAATTTAAAATGAATTAATGGAAAATATTTTTTTTTTTTACTAATTTTTAATAATTTAATTTAAAATAAAGACTTGCAAACAGAGTTGCCCATAGAGATATTTTCCAGATTAAAATTCATTTGAATGTGTTTTGTGCCATAGTTAATGCTCTTCATGTTTTGGTGAACTTTCTACTTAGTGCTATAAATGCAATCTTGGATTTGAGTTGTAGGGAAATTCTTGTGTTGAATATACTTGCGATCCTATTTGCGGTACTTGTAATGGTAGCAGACATGACTAATGCACAAGCTGCTATTAAGATAAAACTCTAATTGGAACGACTTGTGTTCATAGTTGTAACTCTACTTGCAAAACTTGTGTTAACTAAAATGATCCTAATTCTTGTCTTAGCTGTTTTGATAACTACTATCTTAAAGACTCTTAATGTTTGCCATGTCCTTCACCTTGCGGTACTTGCTAGTTAGTTGATAAATAAATTGTTTGTAACTCTTGCAATTCAACTTCCTTGTATAGATTTGATTCCAAAAATAATATTTGCATACCAATTTGCTATGCTTCTTGCCTTACATGTAATATGCCCTTAGATAAAAATTCATGTGTGACTTGCAAAGATGGATTTTATTTGAGTAAAAATTAATGCTTACCTTGTTCTTCTCCTTGTTTGTCATGCGAAAATAATGCTACAACTTGTTTAAGTTGTATTAACAATACTGATTTTATTTACGATTCAATTAACAAAATCTGTAAATATATATGTAAAAGTCCATGCACAAATTGCGATCTTACTAAAGATACTTGTACATCTTGTATCGATGGTTATTACTTAGACTAAGTTACTTGTAAAAAATGCAAAAGCCCTTGCAAAAAATGCACTTAGAATGCTTCTAAATGTACTTAATGCATTGATAATTACGTTTTGAATGATTCTAATTAGTGTATTAATTTATGCGACTAATCTTGTGCAACATGTTCTATTCAGCATGACAAAAATGCTTGTATTACATGCAATGATGGATATACAATGATCAATTCTCTGTGTTTATAATGCAAATTTCCATGTTCATAATGCATAGATTCTCAGGATAAATGTACTGAATGTGCAGAAGACTATGAGTTGAATGGAAACATCTGTAAACCTGGATGCAGCCATACTTGTAAAACTTGCTCTAAATTCCTTGATAAAAATGGCTGCACTAGTTGCAGAGAGTAATATTTTTTACAATCTAAAAATGGTATCGATGGCAGATGTTTTAAATGTAACAACTCATGTAAATCCTGCAAAGATTCATAGACTTGTGAAACATGCTTTGAAGATTATTAAATATCTTCAAATGGACTTTGCACTATGATTTGTGATTAATCATGCTTAACATGTTCACGTCCGAAAGATAGCAATGCATGTCTAACATGTAAAGCACCTTCAATTTTAGTAAATAACTTTTGCGAATAATGTAAAGACGGATTCTTTTATTCTTAAGGAGAATGTAAAAAGTGCAGTAAGAATTGTAAATCTTGTGAAAATGAATAACAATGTTCGAAATGTGAAGATGGATACAAAAAAGACTCATTAAAAGGCTGTGTCAAATAAAAATGCCATTTTAGTTGCAAAAAATGTGTTGACAATTCGTATGATTCTTGCATTACTTGTTAGGGAAACAGAGAATTAATAAAATCAGATTCATCATAGTAATATGGTGTTTGTTAATGTCCTGAACTCACAACTGACACTAACTAGCCTTAATGCTCTTAGTCTCATATTTAAAGCAATATCAAAAAAACAGTGACTGCAACATTTACTGGCTCTGTAACGGCGTCAATAGTAGCAAGTATGCAAATTTTTATTTTAATTTTCAATCAATCAAAAATTATTTCAATTTTAATATATTTTTATTCTTAAAAATAGGTTCGCTACAATAGAATCCATTAATGTTTTTTACTCAATTAGAATTTAGTTAAAGTGTGAGCTATTTAACTTATGTGAATTATTAGCAACCTGTAGGATTTGATTAAGTTATGAAAGTTATTTCCTACTCCAGCCTAAAATTTGATTAAAATCAAGATTAATAATCTTCAAATTAGACTTAAAGAATCCTTGAAAACTAAACCATGGAAATTTAAAATCAAGATTTGATAATAAAAAGTGAAAATCCTAAGCTTAGAATGAATAACCAATCTACAAGTTTCTTAAAGAATTCTTTTATAATTCTAATAATACAAGGTATTCAATTTTATTAAATTTTTAAGATTTTTTAAAAAAATTATTTTGAAAAGTTTTATTAAATTAAAAAAATAATCAAATAGAAATAAAAATTCCCTGTTTATTAAAAATACACTTTAATTTAATAAAAAAGGTTTTGCTTGGTCAATGTCCGTCATAGCTTATTTGATTAAGAAGTATATATAATAAAGTATAAATATGAAGGTTGTAAAATTTATTGTAAAAATTTTCTATTTATCGATACCTCTGATTTTATTCATTATTTGCAGCTAGTAAATGTGGATATGTATATTTTATGAGTTTAATCTACAGTCAAACGGATAAGCAAATACAGTTGATTTTGTTTCTTCAGTATGTGCTCTTTTTTACATGTTTTGTATACTAGCTTACCTCTTCTACAAGCTAGAATACAAAAAGTGCTTAAAAAATATATATTAAACTAGTTCAGCCTAAACTATTTAAGATATTAACATTGATTCGTTTAAAATTAGTTATTTAATGAGAAGTAAAGACAATTTTTATTTTATTTATAAACTAGTAAAACAAGATAGTTTTATGACAAGGAATGTCTTCCAGTTTATAGTGATTGTAAAAATGATAATATCTCTAGTTTCAACATTTGTAGTAAGCAGTCCATATCCTCAAATCGCAACAATGGCTACTTGTTATTTTGGATTATCTATTTATTTAGGTAAACAAACATATTCATTTTATATTGATTTATTTATTTATTTATTGATTTATTTATTTATTAATTTTAAAGTAATTTTTAGACCCTTTAAGCTGATATATTACACCATATCTCTATTAGCAATTTATGTATCAATAACCATAATTTCTATAATTTATGCAATTTCTATTAACTATGAAGATGATCCTGACAAGAGCAAGGGCTTTTCTATTGCCATTCTTGTTTTAGTTATAGGAATTTATGCTATTATTGTATTAGCATCTTTGATTTTGTTAACAATTAAACTGATAAAAATGCTTAAACATTATAAATCTTAGTAAAAACTATAAATTGAATTAAAATAAATGCAAAAAATCAAGCAAATTGAAAATGCTAATTTATAATAATCTAATTAAAATTTTGAACCAAACTAAATTGCAAATAATTTAAACAATTAAACATAGAAATAAATTATAACAGATAAAAACTTAAGTTCTGATAAAAATTTAAATTGAAGGAGAAGTAGTGTATAAACACTATAAAAGATAAACAAAATACCTATTAAATTATTGTAATTTTGTTTATTTGTTTGTTTGTTTAATTTTTTGTTAAAAACATTTAATTGAATTCAATAATTATTTTAAATACTAAAAGCATTTCCATTTATTTAATTGAAAGCATAATAAAAATAAAGAATATTTAAAACATAAAATAAATGAGAATTTTATTTAGTCTTTACTAAAAACTAGCTTAAGTTTTGCTCTCAAAATATTTCAAATACAGTCAAATGCCATTAAAAGCCTAGTGATTTGAGATTAATATTTTTTTGATTGGCTAATGTGTTTGAATATAAGTTAAGTAATCATTTTATAATAGAATTTAATTAATAATATTTATAATTAATTTTACTTTATATCAAATAATAAAATTTTTCAATCGAGTTTTTAATTTATTTATGTGAATTTAAAAAAATAAATATAACCCTATATTTAAATTAAGTAGACAAATTAAATACAATTATTAAAATAGACAATTTAAATTTCAAAAATATTTATTAATTATGTATGTAGACAATTTAATAATAAAAATATCAGAAAATAGAATCATAATAGTTTATTTGTTCTTTTTATCCAAATTAATTTGAAATATATGGAATTTATTTTTTTAATATACTAATAATTAATTAATTAAATATCAATAAATTAATTGTATTCTAATCAATTTTATTGAAAGAAAAACAAACATAAATAAATAAATGATATAATAGAAAAAGAAGTTCAATAATCTAGAAGAAGTAATTATTTATTTTTTGTTAATATTCTTTAAAATTAATTTTTTTTATTAATAAAAAGTTTTTAAATTCTTAACTTTAGTAGCATTTAGTTCTCGATATTTTACTTTATAGGTTTATTTAATTTATCATTATTATTAATGCTTTTTATATTTAATTTTCAAATTATTTACAATATCATTTTTGAATATAATTCTTATCTATTTTCATTCATTTTTAATAACACAATTACTTATTTTGATTATTATTATTATTATTGATTCATTTTTATTATTTGATGTTTTTTGTTCATTTTTTCCGATAAACTAACTAACTAATTAATTAATTTATATATTTTTTTTAAATATTTAAAAAGTAAAAATTAAATTATTGAAACTAGTGTATCAGATTTAGGTTCTGCTTTAGCAAAATGCACTAATCTCACAAATTTGACACTATACCTAAGGTGATAACAGTTTATTTGTTTTGGAATGTGATATTTTTAAGTATAAAAATGGATATAAAACTATTAAATAACTCTTTTTATTTTTTTATTTGGTTTATTTTTATTTTTTATTCTACTTATGATTTTTTTTTATTTAATTTATTAATTTAACCAATTTTTTAAAATTTATTATTCTTATTTGTTATAATTTTTTATTATTTCATATTTATTCTTTCTAACTTACTAATTAATTTTTCTTAAATATTTAAAAAGTTACAATAAAATTGATGATAAAGATGCTTAATGTTTAGGTTCTGCTTTATCAAAATGTACTAATCTCTCAAATTTGAAACTTACACTTTGGTAATAACAGTTTATTTTTTCAAATTGTGATATTTTTTAAGATTAAAAATGATATTTCTTAAATATTTTTAACTCAATTTTATTTTTCAATTTTTGCATTCATATATTATTAATTAATTTTATATTATTTCATTTTTTCCTTCTAACTTACTAGTTAATTATATTTTTTTTCTTCAATATTTTAGTGACAATTAAATTGGTGCAATTGGTGCATCAGACTTAGGTTCTGCTCTAGCAAAATGCACTAATCTCTCATATTTGAGACTGAATCTTAGGTAAATACAGTTTATTAACTTCAATTTGTAATATTTTTAAGTATAAAAATGATATTTCTTAAATATTTTTAACTCTATATTCACTTTGACTTTGTTTGTTTTTACTATTAATTTCTTATTATTATTTTATTTTTTCCTTCTAACTAGTAAATTAATTATATTTTTTTTCTTCAATATTTTAGTGGCAATTAAATTGGTGCAATTGGTGCATCAGACTTAGTTTCTGCTCTAGCAAAATGCACTAATCTCTTAAATTTGAGACTTAATCTTAGGTAAAAACAGTTTATTAACTTCAATTTGTAATATTTTTAAGTATAAAAATGATATTTCTTAAATATTTTTAACTCAATATTAACTTTGACTTTTGCTTTTACTATTAATTCATTCATTTCTTATTATTATTTTATTTTTTCCTTCTAAGTTAATAATTAATTATATTTTTTTTCTTCAATATAAAAGTGAGAATAAAATTGATGCAATTGGTGCATCTGATTTAGGTTCTGCTTTAGCAAGATATATTAATCTCTCAAATTTGAGACTGAATCTTAGGTAAAAACAGTTTATTTATTACAAATTGTGATATTTTTAAGTATAAAAATGATATTTGTTAAATATTTTTAAATCAATTTTCTTTTTGACTTTTTTTAATTATTAATTAATTAGTTATTATTTAATTATTTTTTTTTCTAATTAACTAATTAATTAATTATAATTTTTTTTTCTTCAATTTTTAAAAAGTAAAAATCAAATTGGTGTAATTGGTACATAAGAAATAGCTTCTGCTTTAGCAAAATGCACTAATCTCTCAAATTTAGGACTTAATCTTAGGTAAAAACTGTTAGTTTATTTAAAATTATGCTAATTTTAAGTATAAAAATGATATTTATTTCTTAAATATTTTAACTCAATTTACTTTTTGTCTTTCTCTTTTATTATTAATTAACTTATCTTTTCTTATTGTTATTTAATTTTTTTTCTTAATTTGTTACCTTCTAACTAACTAACTAAATAATAAAATTTTTTTTATTAAATATTTAAAAGTGAGAATAAAATTGGTGCAATTGGTGTATCAGATTTAGGTTCTGTTTTGGTAAAATTACCTAACCTCTCAAATTTGAGACTTAGTCTTAGGTAAAAACTGTTTACTTATTTCAAATTGCGATATTTTTAAAATATTTTTAACTCAATTTTCTTTTCCATCCTTTACTTTTATATTAAATAATTATTTTTCATACTACTTGTGATTTATATTCTCTCTTTTCTAATGTAACTCATTTTTAAATTTTTAATTTTTTGTTTATCATTAATTAATTAAAATCTTATTATTTAATATTTTTTCTTCATTTTTTCCTTGTAGCTTACTAATTATTTACATATTTTTATTTCAATATTTAAATAGGTTAAATAAAATTCGTGATAAAGATGCTTTAGGCTTAGGCTCTTCTTTAGCAAATTGCGTTAATCTCTTAAATTTGACACTTAATCTTGGGTAAAAATTATTATTTTTTTTGTTTGGATTGTGATTTATTTAATAAAAAAATGATATTTCTTAAATATTTTTAACTTAATTTTCTTTTTCAATTTTTGTCTTTCTTATAATTAATTTATTCCTTATTATTTCATTTTTTCCTTATAACTAACTAATTAATTAATTAATAAAAATTTTCTTTGATATTTAAAAAGGGTAAATAAAATTCGTAATAAAGGCGTATCAGGATTAAGTTCTGCTTTATCAAATTGCTTTAATCTCTTAAATCTGACACTTAATCTTGAGTAAAAACTATTTATTTATTTGAATTGTGATATTTTTAAATTAAAAATGAATCTGAAGCAATAGAATTCTTTATTTATTTATTTATTTATTTATTTATTTATTTATTTATTAGATATTTATTTTTCTTTTCTTTTTTATGCTACTCTTTTTTTAGTAATTTAACTCATTTTTACATTTTTAAAATTTTCTTTTACAATTAATAATTATTTCATATTTTTTTTCTTCATTTTTCCTTATATCTTACTAATGAATTAATTACATATTCTTCTTCTATATATAAAAAGGGAAAATTACATTGGTCCAATTGGCGCATCAGGCTTAGGTTCTGCTTTATCAAATTGCACTAATCTCTAAAATTTGACACTTATTCTTAAGTAAAAACATTTTATTTGTGCTAGATTATGATATTTATTTTTGCAAAAATGAATTTAAAACAAAAAAAACTGATTTAATTTATTTATTACTTTTTTATTTGATTTATTTTTATTTTCCTTTTTAATTTTTTTTTTCTTTGATAATTTAACTTTAATTTTTTTAACAATTTATCCATTTCTTAATATTCCTTATTTATTTTTCATTTTTTCTTTCTTTCTTTCTTTCTTTCTTTCTTTCTAACTAAATAATTAATTCTATATATTTCTTCATTATTTAAAAAGACAAAATTATATTCATGAAATTGGTGCGTCAGGCTTAGGTTTTGCTTTAGGAAAGTGCACTAATCTCTCAAATTTGACACTTGATCTTAGGTAAAAACAGTTTATTTGTTTTGGATTATAAAATTTTTAATGCTAAAATGAATTTAATGAAAACTCATTTAATTTATTTATTTATTATCTTTTTATTTGATTTATTTTTATTTTTAATTATTATTCTGTTTTTTGTTTTTTTCTTACTTTTTTGATTTAACTCATTTTTTCATTTTCAATTTTAAATTTTACTATTTATTAATTAATTAATTAATTTGTTATTATTTCCTATTTTATTTCATTTTTTACTTCAAATTAACAAAATATTTATGTGTTTTTCTTCCATTTTAAAAAAGTTATAATAAAATTGGTGCAATTGGTGCATCAGGTTTAGGTTCTGGTTTAGCAGATTGCACTAATCTCTCAAATTTGACACTTTTTCTTTAGTAAGAATAGTTTATTTGTTTTGGATTATAATACTTTTAATATAAAAATGAATTTATATGAAAGCTCTTTTAATTTATTTATTAGCTTTTTATTTGATTTATTTTTATTTTTAATTATTATTCTGCTTTTTGTTTTTTTCTTACTTTTTTGATTTAACTCATTTTTTTTTTTTCAATTTTAAATTTTACTATTTATTAATTAATTTGTTATTATTTCCTATTTTATTTCATTTTTTACTTCAAATTAACAAAATATAAATGTTTTTCTTCCATTTTTAAAAAGTTCTAATAAAATTGATGCAATTGGTGCATCAGACTTAGGTTCTGCTTTAGCTGCTTGTAATTAACTCTTAAATTTGACACTTGATCTTAGGTAAAAACAGTTTATTTGTTTTGGATTATAAAATTTTTAATGCTAAAATGAATTTAAATGAAAACTCATTTAATTTATTTATTAGCTTTTTATTTGATTTATTTTTATTTTTAATTATTATTCTGCTTTTTGTTTTTTTCTTACTTTTTTGATTTAACTCATTTTTTCATTTTCAATTTTAAATTTTACTATTTATTAATTAATTAATTTGTTATTATTTCCTATTTTATTTCATTTTTTACTTCAAATTAACAAAATATTTATGTATTTTTCTTCCATTTTTAAAAAGTTCTAATAAAATTGGTGCGATTGGTGCATCAGACTTAGGTTCTGCTTTAGCTGCTTGTAATTAACTCTTAAATTTGACACTTTTTCTTAAGTAAGAATAGTATATTTGTTTTGGATTATAATACTTTTAAAATAAAAATGAATTTATATGAAAGCTCTTTTAATTTTTTTATTAGCTTTTTATTTGATATTTTTTTATTTTTCTTTTTTATTCTGCTTATAGTTTTTTTCTTTCTTTGTTAATTTAACACATTTATTCTTTTTCAATTTTTACTTTTATAATAAATTAATTAATTCATTTTTTTTTTATTATTTCATATTTTTTCTTCATTTTTTCCTTCTAAATAACTAGTTATTTATGTGTTTTTCTTCCATTTTTAAATAGTTCAAGCGAAATTGATGTTATTGGTCCATCAGGCTTAGTTTCTGCTTTGGCAAATTGCAATAATCTCTCAAAATTGATACTTGATCTTGGGTAAAAACAGTTTATTTGTTTTGGATTGTGACGTTTTTTCATATAAAAATGAATTATTTAAAGCCAAAGAGATCTTTTTAATTTATTTATTTATTAACTTTTTATTTGATATACTGTATTTTCTCCTAAATAAATTCATATTAACACCCAAAATTTTAAAAGAGCAAAAAAAAAGAATTGAACCCAAATTTTTTCAAAAGTTTGTAGGAGAGGGTGTTAACATATGAGAACTTACATTATTTTTATTTGATTGTGTTTTTTTCTTTAATTTGTTAATATAACTCATTTTTTCATTTTCAATTTTTGATTTATTAATTAATTCATTTCTTATTCTTTCCTATTTCTCTTTCCTTCTAACTAACTAATTAATTAATTTTTTTCTTCAATATTTTAAAAGGTTCAATCGAATTGGTGATAAAGGGGCATCAGGCTTAGGTTCTGCTTTAGCAAATTGCAATAATCTCTCAAATTTGAATCTTAAACTTTTGTAAAAATAGTTTATTTGTTTTGGATTTGCATTATTTTTTTAATAAAAAAGGAATTAAAAAAATATAACTACTTACTCTTTTAATTTATTTATTTATTAGTTTTTATTTGGTTTATTAATATTTTTCTTTTTTATTCTGATTATGTTTTTTTCTTTCTTTCTTTCTTAATAAAATTTATTTTTTAACTTTCAACTTTTAATTTTACTATGATTAGCAAATAAAATTCTTACTATCTCTTATTTTTTCATCATTTTTTCCTTCTAACTATCTATTTAATAATATGCAAATCTTCAATTTTTAAAAAGACTTATTGAAATTGGTGATGAAGGTACATCAGGCTTATGTTCTGGTTTAGCAAGCACTAATATCTAAATTTTGGAACTTGATCTTTAGTAAAAACATTGTATTTATGGATTTTTATATATTTAAATATAAAAATGAATTAATTTAAAACAACATAACTGGTTCTTTTAATTCATTTATTTATTAGCTTATACTTTTCATTTTTATTCTGATCATATTTTTTTATTTGTTTGTTAATTTAGTTCATTTTTTAATTTTGCTTTTATTACTAATTTATGCATTTCTTATTACTTAATATTTTTTTTTTTCAATTTTAAAAAGTGAAAATTTAATTGGTGAAACTGGCGCATTAGGCTTAGGTTCTGCTTTAGCGAATTGCACTAACCTCTTAAAATTGTCAATTTGTTTTTAGTAAAAACAATTTATTTGTTTGAGATTATATTAATTTTTAATATAAAAATTAATTTTAAACATTTTAATTATTTTAATTTATTTATTTATTAGCTTTTTATTTGATTTATTTTGTTTTACTTTTTATTTATTGATTTAAAACATATAATTTTATTATTAAAAAATATTAATTTATATTAATAGTCGAAACTGGATGAATGAATCATAATAAAAGAAAGTAGTAAGCAAGTGTCTTAAATCAAAAAGATTAGTTTTCTGCGATATATGTTTCGTAGGATGATAAATAAATGGTGAAAAAAAAGATGAACTTTTATATAATATAATATGTTTATATTGCTAATTGCAGATTTTTTTTTTGTAATAGAGAGATAAATAGTGATAGGTTACACCTATAACTATTTATCTTTCTAATAGAAATTAATATAATATTAAATAAATTATATAATAGTATTTTATATATTTACATGTGATTTGTATTTAGTTTTTAATAATTTAAATAAATTTTGGTCCTTAATAAAATATTTTGTATTTTATAAAAATGTGGCCTTTGATTAATGAGGATTTACAGTATTTTAATTCAAATTCGCCTCATTAATGGACTAAAATAAAAAAACCTAAAATATTAAAATTATTTTATCAAAATTTAAGTACTTAAACTCATTACTAGAGTTTTTTCAGCATATCGCTACTCAACTGTCTTTGATTCATGTTAAATTTTTAAATAGAAATATTAAGATTTAATAAAAAATGTTACACTAGCTTCTATTGTGATATCTCTTTGAAAAAGCAAATTTATAAATTTGTATTTGATAATTATTATTATTATTTATTTGTTCTTTTAATCCAAATTAATTTGATATAAAGGTGAATTAATTTATTAATATACTAATAATTAATTAAATTTTTACAAATTACTATTCAATAATTTTGAAGAAGAAAAAAAAATAAATGATCTAAAAAGAAAAATAATTTTATAATCTAAAAAAAGTAATTATTTATTTTTTATTAATATCCTAAAAATTTATTTTTATTCATAAAAATAGTTTTTAAAGTCTTCATATTAATCTCATGAGGTCCTTTATATTAAATTGACAAGAAGTTAAACGTATAATTTTATAAAAATTACTATTAATAAATTTAATTTTCATGCTATTTACTTACAGTTATTTTTTTAATAGATATTATCATCAATAGTCATTCATTTTTATTTTAACTTAATTTTTCAATTTTTTAAAATTTATAATTTTTATGAATTTATTTTTTCCTTTAAAGTAACATAGCTCTACATTTTTTATTCATTAGTTAAAAATTACAGATTTATTGGATTTATATTGCTTTTTTTTCTGCAAGCTATTATTTTCTTAATCTATTAATTATCATATTTTTCTTCTAATTAACTATATTTTTTCTTCAATATTTAAAAAGGTGTTCATCATGCTTAAATTCTCTTTTAGGAAAGTGCATTAATCTCTTGAAAATTACACATAATCAGTAAAAATAGTTTATATGTTTTAAATTTTGATTCTTTTTAATATAAACATTAATTTAAAGCAACCTAGCTAGCTAACTCTTTTAATTTATTTATTTATTAGCTTTATATTTGATTTCTTTTTTTATTTATTCTGCTTATGTTTTTTTCCTTTCTTTTTTATTTTTTAATTTAATTCATTTTTTATTCTTAATTTTAATTTTAATTAATAATTTAATTCATTACTTATTATTTTATATTTTTTCTTAATTTTTTCCTTCGAACTAACTAATTAACAATATTTTATCTTCAAAATTTAAAAAGGGAAAATAAAATTGGTGACGAAGTTGTATCAGGCTTAGGTTCTGGTTTAGGAAAGTGCACTAATCTCTCAAATTTGACACTTGATCTTAGGTATAAAGATTTATTTGTTGATGGCGATTTTTTTAAATATAAAAATGAATTTAAAACAATTTAGCTAGCTAACTCTTTTAATTTATTTATTTATTAGCTTTATATTTGATTTCTTTTTTTTATTTATTGTGCTTATATTTTTATCCTTTGTTTTTTATTTGTTAATTTAATTCATTTTTTATTCTTAATTTTAACTTTAATTAATTATTTAATACATTACTTATTATTTTATATTTTTTCTTAATTTTTTCCTTCGAACTAACTAATTAACAATATTTTGTCTTCAAAATTTAAAAAGTTTAAATGTTATTGGTGACGAAGGAGCATCAGGTTTAGGTTCTGGTTTAGGAATGTGCACTAAACTCTCAAATTTGACACTTAATCTTGAGTATAAACAATTTACTTGTTGATTGTGATTTTTTTTTTTAAATATAAAAACGAATTTAAAACAATTTAGCTAGTTAACTCTTTTAATTTATTTATTTATTAGCTTTATATTTGATTTATTTTTCTTTTTTATTCTATGTTTTTTTCCTTTGTTTTTTATTTGTTAATTTAATTCATGTTTTTATTCTTAATTTTAACTTTAATTAATTATTTAATTGATTACTTATTATTTTATATTTTTTCTTAATTTTTTCCTTCGAACTAACTAATTAACAATATTTTGTCTTCAAAATTTAAAAAGTTTAATTACAAATCTTATTAGTATTCGTGTATGTAGCCTTGAAAAAGGCAGTACCTTATGGTACTATATATATATAATAAATTATTTAATTGATTATTTATTATTTTATATTTTTTCTTAATTTTTTCCTTCGAACTAACTAATTAACAATATTTTATCTTCAAAATTTAAAAAGTTATAATTAAATTGGTGACGAAGGAGTATCAGGCTTAGGTTCTGGTTTAGGGAAGTGCACTAATCTCTCAAATTTGACACTTAATCTTAGGTATAAACAGTTTATTTGTTGATTGCGATTTTTTTTAATTTAAAAACGAATTTAAAACATCTTTTAATTTATTTATTTATTAGCTTTATATTTGATTTCTTTTTCTTATTTATTCTGCCTATGTTTTTTTCCTTTGTTTTTTATTTGTTAATTTAATTCATTTTTTTATTCTTAATTTTAACTTTAATTAATTATTTAATTCATTACTTATTATTTTATATTTTTTCTTAATTTTTTCCTTCGAACTAACTAATTAACAATATTTTGTCTTCAAAATTTAAAAAGGAGAAATAATTTTCATCGCAAAGGAGCATCAGGCTTAGGTTCTGGTCTAGGAAAGTGCACTAATCTCTCAAATTTGACACTTAATCTTGAGTATAAACAGTTTACTTGTTGATTGCGATTTTTTTAAATATAAAAACGAATTTAAAACAATTTAGCTAGCTAACTCTTTTAATTTATTTATTTATTAGCTTTATGTTTGATTTCTTTTTCTTATTTATTCTGCTTATGTTTTTTATTTTTTAATTAAATTCATTTTTTTATTATTAATTTTAACTATAATTAATTATTTAATTCATTACTTATTATTTTATATTTTTTCTTAATTTTTTCCTTCGAACTAACTAATTAACAATATTTTGTCTTCAAAATTTAAAAAGGGGAAATAATATTGGTGACGAAGGAGCATCAGGCTTAGGTTCTGGTTTAGGAAAGTGCACTAATCTCTCAAATTTGACACTTAATCTTAGGTATAAACAGTTTATTTGTTGATTGCGATTTTTTTTAATTTAAAAACGAATTTAAAACAATTTAGCTAGCTAACTCTTTTAATTTATTTATTTATTAGCTTTATGTTTGATTTCTTTTTCTTATTTATTCTGCTTATGTTTTTTATTTTTTAATTAAATTCATTTTTTTATTATTAATTTTAACTATAATTAATTATTTAATTCATTACTTATTATTTTATATTTTTTCTTAATTTTTTCCTTCGAACTAACTAATTAACAATATTTTGTCTTCAAAATTTAAAAAGGGGAAATTTTATTTATGGAAAAGGAGCATCATGCTTAGGTTCTAGTTTAGGAAAGTGCACTAATCTCTCAAATTTGACACTTGATCTTGAGTATAAACAGTTTACTTGTTGATTGCTATTTTTTTTAAATATAAAAACGAATTTAAAACAATTTAGCTAGCTAACTCTTTTAATTTATTTATTTATTAGCTTTATATTTGATTTCTTTTTCTTATTTATTCTGCCTATGTTTTTTTCCTTTGTTTTTTATTTGTTAATTTAATTCATTTTTTTTATTCTTAATTTTAACTATAATTAATTATTTAATTCATTACTTATCATTTTATATTTTTTCTTAATTTTTTCCTTCGAACTAACTAATTAACAATATTTTGTCTTCAAAATTTAAAAAGTCCAAATAAAATTGGTGGCGAAGGAGCATCAGGCTTAGGTTCTGGTTTAGGGAAGTGCACTAATCTCTCAAATTTGACACTTAATCTTAGGTATAAACAGTTTATTTGTTGATTGCGATTTTTTTTAAATATAAAAACGAATTTAAAACAATTTAGCTAGCTAACTCTTTTAATTTATTTATTTATTAGCTTTATATTTCATTTCTTTTTCTTATTTATTCTGTTTATGTTTTTTATTTTTTAATTTAATTCATTTTTTTATTATTAATTTTAACTTTAATTAATTATTTAATTCATTACTTATTATTTTATATTTTTTCTTAATTTTTTCCTTCGAACTAACTAATTAACAATATTTTGTCTTCAAAATTTAAAAAGTTATAATTAAATTGGTGACGAAGGAGTATCAGGCTTAGGTTCTGGTTTAGGAAAGTGCACTAATCTCTCAAATTTGACACTTAATCTTTGGTATAAACAGTTTACTTGTTGATTGCGATTTTTTTTAAATATAAAAACGAATTTAAAACAATTTAGCTAGCTAACTCTTTTAATTTATTTATTTATTAGCTTTATATTTGATTTCTTTTTCTTTTTTATTCTGTTAATTCTTTATTATTTATTGGCTTAAAAAATATTATTTTATTTAAAAATTTTATTGAATTTATTTTTTTAAGTTGTTTACACTAATTTATATTAAAAGGTACAACGAAATCAAAAGTATATAATAATTGAAAGCAAAGTGTCATAAATCAAATAGATTAGTTGTCTTAAAAATAAGGAATTTTTGAAAATAAAGTTGTGAAAAAAGGAAGATTAAAAATAAATATTTTTGGATAGTTTAACATAATGTGCTTTATTTTTTTATTTTGTAATTGCATAATTTAATCTAAAATATATATAGATAGATAGATAGATTTATTACTTTTATGGATAAGTCAACATAATTAGATACCCCAGTATAATTTACAAAATTTAAAAATTAAAATAATAAAAATGAGTAAAAGTTTTTAAAGCAGAATTTAATTTATTTTTAAATAATTCATTTCTATTATTAAAAAAAATTATAATCATAGAGCTTCATTAGTTTAATTTCATATTAAAAATTTTGTATTTATTAATAAAAACATTTAATAATAAATCTATTTTCAAAAATATTTTAATAAATGTAACTAAATATTAATTTTCTATCTATACTATTACTAAAATATTAAAGTAAATTCATTTTAAAAGTAAACAAAAAAAAAAATAAATTACAACTTTAACAATAATAATTCAATTTATTTTTAATCTATTTTATCTTATATATGAAAAATTATTTTACATTCTCATAAAATAATCAAAAAAATAAGTATCGATACATTGAGGATTTATGAGAATGAAAATTAGGTGTTTTATTAACTCTAAGGGACTTAACAATCTTTTTCAGTTTTAGCATCGCCAGCTTTTGATGTTTAACTGTTTGGGCAAGGATTACATTGAGATTTTTGTGTTTCTGTGGCTTTACTTGCATCTCCATAGTAATTAGTATTGCATTAGCATATGTTATTACTTGCATTCCAAGATACCGAATTTTAGTCATAACACTTACAACCTGAAAAATCGTCTGTACTAGTTGAACCAGGAGCACAAGTTTGACATTTTGTATTTCCTGTACCATTTGCAAACTATCCTGCTAAACATTTAGTGCATGCTGAATTTGCAGTTCCACTTGAAAATGTTCCTACTCCACATGGAGAACATTTTCCAGAGTCTGCAAATTACCCAGCAGGACAAGCAGTACAGCTTAATTAAGAGTTCTTTGATGTTGCTGGAGAACCAACATAACCTGAATTACAAACGCAGCTAGGATTACTTACTGGTTTGTTTGCATTCAGATCTATACATTTACAACCTGAAAAATCATCAGTATTCGTCAGAGTAGATCCACAACTTTAGCAAGAACTATTTCCAGTCCCTGATGCATATTAACCTTCACTACATTGGGTACAGGAAGAATTACCAGTATTTGATGAATATGTACCAGCAGGACATGCTATGCATTATCCTTATGTCGAAATATCAGAATATTAACCAGATGGGCAAATTGTACATCCAGTTGAGCCATTTTTAGCTGAATTAGGTGTTCCTCCATATCCTTATTTACAGATGCATTTATTATTAGCAAATATAGCATTCGTATCATTGCATTTACAGCCAGAAAAATCATCTAAAGATGAAAAACCGCTAGGACAGCTAGAGCATGAGCTGTTTCCTGTTCCACTTGCATATTGTCCTGCTGAACATTATGTACAACTTTGATTTGCTGAATTACTAGAATAACGCCCAGCAGCACAAGGAGAGCATAACCCAGTGTCTATATTTACTTCTTAACCAGCTACACAAGCTGTACATCCGCTTTAAGAGCTTTATGAAGCCTTTGGTGAGCCAACAAATCCTGAGTTACATGTGCAGCTACTTTTGCTGTCTGTTTAGGTGGCATTAGAATCTATGCATGAACAACCTGAAAAATCAGCATTATTAGTAGATCCAGATCCGCATTAATCGCAACTAGAACTTCCAGTATTAGATGCAAATGTATTTATATCACATTATTTGCAATTAGTATTACCAGTGCCTTATGAGTATTTTCCAGTAGGACAGGCAGTACATTTTCCAGAAGTAGAAGAATTAGAGAACTAACCTGCTATACATGCATTACACCCTTAAGTACCTGATGAGCTAGAAGGAGTACCCTCATATCCATCTGGGCAAACACAGTTACCATTTACAAAAACAGCACTTGTATCTACACATTTGCAACCTGTAAAATCATCCAAAGAGACTGTTAAATTAGGACAAGTTTAGCAAGATGTATTTCCTTTTCCTGTAGCAAAGTATCCAGAGGTACACTTTGTACAAGAAGTACTACCAGGAGAACTTGAATAAGTACCTGCAGGACAATCAACACAAACCCCAGCAGAGAAATATTATCCTGGAGGACATGGAGTACATCCTTAAGTATTTAAGGAAGTAGCTGGTGAACCAACACTACCGGGATTGCATTAACAAGAGTTTTAAGTAGCTGACCAAGATGCATATTAGTCATAACAATAACAAACTGTGTTTATGCCTGGATTTGTGTTTGATCCAGCAGGACATTACTAACATTAAGCTGTTACTCCATCTTAATATGGTTAAGTCATGTAATAACCAGCTACACATACAGTACATTAAGTTGCATCTCCAACTTAACTTACTGGAGCTAAAGTTCCAGTATTATTTGGACAAGATTAACATTCTGCGGAATTAGTTGAATCAGCAGCTTTTGTCATATAATAATTTGGTTTACACAAGGAGCAAGATGAAGGAGAGTTAGAAGTTCCAGGTGTAGAATAGGAGTTTTTAGGGCATATTTAGCATTATGCTCCAACACCAGGACTATCTCCAACTGGATCTTAATATGGTGTGATTAAATAATATCCTTCTAAACAAACATCGCATGTAGATTCATCTCCTACTACATTCAAGTTATAAAGCTTTCCTGAGCCAGTAGGGCAAGGAACACAAGTAGCAGCAGAAGTAGGAGTCGGAAGTGCAGTTATATATTAGTTTAAACTACAAGTACAAGAAAAAATACCATTTGTAGATACTTGATTAGTTGTAGTATTTCCTGGACATTTTTAGCAATTAACAGGTTTTTTTCTATCAGTTTCAGCATTATAAAATCCTGTTAAACAAAGAATACAATCTTTTGATGTATAAGTTAGTTATGGAAACACAAAACCTCTTTATAGAATACGCATTCTACTCTTCATTGAAATATCCATACCATTAATAGCACTAGTGTTATTAGGGCAAATTTAACAATTAGCATTTTAATTAGGAGAAACTTAAGAAGTAGCATAGAATCCCTCAGCACAGGTACCACAATATGTACTACTAAGAGTATCAGTACCAGGTAACAAAGGTTAAGGCATTGGATCAGAATCAGAAATAATAGTTGAAGTATTGTTAGGGCATTTTTAGCATTATGCTGCCTTACCTTTATTACCATTATCATTTGAAGGAGAAATAGCATCTTTAATCTTATAATAACCTGCTATACAATCCTGACAAACACTTTCATCTTAAACACCTATTGGTAATTCACCAAAATTAATTGAATTGTTAGGACATTTTGAGCATGTAGCACTATCAACTGATGTTGCAGCAACTGTCAAATAATAAGGACCATAAGGGCAAATTGAGCAATCAGAGGCCTATTTAGCTATTGCAAAATAATCAGTAAAACTTTAATAAGGGCACAAAAAACAATTTCTGTTCTAAGTGTAAAATCCAGGTAAGCAATTACAAATATCATCTTCATAATTATAAGGATCAGAAGAATAGTGGCAATATTAATAGGAAAGCTAAATAAGTGCCAAAATGAGCAGGCAAGTTATGTAGTTCTTCATATTATTATGTTTTTTTTCTTATTTTAATTTTTTTGATTTAATATTTTTTATAATTTTAGAAATAGCAGAGATACTTAAACTTCAAAAATGATTTGATTTTCTTCTATTTAATAGTTTAGTTTTGAATAATCTAAAAATTTTGGCTTTAATATTGTCTAATTTCTGAATAATTGTCAATTATTTTTGAAAATCAAACGCTTAGTAACATATAAAATAATAAAAATAAATACCTACTTGTGAACATTCACTACTCTACCTTACCCTATCTAAATTGGTTATTTAATTATTAATTTTCATATTTCAGCTCAAATAAAAACACATTACTTTTGAAAATAAACATAAAATTCGTTAAAAAATGTTTTCGTCAATTAATTTAGATTAAAAAAACCATTTTAATGAAATGTTTAAGTTATTTTTAACACGCAATTTTAAATAGCAATTACATTTTTTATCGTTAGCTTTACTGTTTTTAAATTTAATTTATATTAATCTAACCATAATTTAGATTAAAATTAAGATTTAATCAGAATATTTCTACGCAATTACAAAATATTGTTTTTACTTTAAATTTTATTGTATTTTTGAAATATACTTTTCTTTCTTAAAAAAACTATTAATTGATTAATCTTCAATTTGTTATCAGATTTCTAATCATTACACCATATTTCATAAAAATCATATCAAAAAAAAACTTTACTTTTTATAACTTAATATCACTTAATCACATAATTTATCTAATTAGAAAGGCAATTCTTTTCAAAAGTAGCAAAAAATATTTGTTCTAATTTTTTATTTGAGTTCATTTATATATAAGAACCTCATTTTTACTATTATTATACATTTATTGTTTTTTGTTTTAAAATAATTATTACTAATAAATATGATAAAAATATGTATATATCAAAAAATATAAATATAGATGCCTCCTCTATAGATTGACTCAGCCAAATATTTTGATATCTAATATCATCATATTTTTTAATATGAATATTTTTTAAAAAAAACTATTAAGTTTAAGTTAAAATGAATAAAATCACACTATATTCTTTATAAAAATGCTTTTTGTTTATTATTATAAGCTGTTTTCTTTCTATAAAACTAAATTGATAAGATAAAGCTATTTTTTGTTTGATTTGAATAAAACGCTTCCCATTTTAAAACAAAGTTCTGTTTTTCACATTAATAATAAACCCATTTATTTATCTCACCTTTTAAAATAATATTTTTTAAATACTTATACAGATTACTAAAAAAAAAAGTAGATGTAAATTACAATAAAATGATGAAAAATACATGGGTGCTAAGAAAATCAATGTGAATATAAAAAGAATTGATATAAATAGTAAGCAATGTGCATAAGATTTCATGTTAAAATTAAAGAAAAAGTTTCATTTCAAAACAATTTGTTTTTCGTTGGATTTTTTTAAATAACTTTAATTGACCTACTTATATGAAAATTAATGAAAAATCAAGTTTCATAAGCAAGTAAAATTATGTGTAATCAAAAATCAAAATCTCCTTATTAACCACTTTACAGATATTGTGGATAATTAATAATTAGAAGAACTTTTTTGATATTATTCTATTTTCTGTTTTGATTACAAAAAATTAATTCTTTAGTTAGATAAAAAATTTAAATATGCATGCATGATTTTCTTTTTAGAAATCTTTTGTATTCTGATTAAATTTAAATAAAAAACATTCAAATTGTATTAATTAAATTTATCAAAATGCATTATTAATTAAGTTTATCAAAATGCATGCTTGTTTTTTCTCTCAAATTCAGATTCATACAATAAAACATAGATGATATTTAAGAAATCAATTTGGTTAAAAAGCTTATTATTTATTCAATACGATCTAAAGTACTATTATCAATTTATTAATTAGGGGATATGATCGTTTTATTTACTTCAAGCTTTTTTTTTGATAGTTTTGTATGTTTTTTTAATACTTTATAAAATCAAATTTAGTTGTATAAATAAAGCGAAACTTGTCTAAACTGGGTACCTATAGGATGAAATATTTTGAACAAAATGTACAGTTACCCTATTAATAGATGGATTTAATAATGTAATAGTTAAATTTGGGATAAAAGCTTTCACCCATTTCAAAAATAACTCTGTTTATAATAGTATCGAGTTTGACAGGGATTGTTGTTTTACATTTGGCTATATGCTCTTACAACACCAAATAAATTTTAAATTATTTAAAATGAGAGAAAATTTTTATATAAAGAAGTTATTCAAATACTTTTTTCAGAAAAAATATTTTTTTCTTTTGAAAGTCAGTTACAAAAAAAAGATTAAATAAAAATATCTGATTCTATTGAGATATTTGCTTTTGCATTTAGCTGATGAATATATATGTTCATTTAATAAAAAACTCAAATAATTTATGCAAAAAAGAATTTTCATTTAGTAATAGCTGCAAAATTAAAAAAATGATTAGTTTATTTCTATTAAATAAAATGTAGATAAATCATCATTTTTCTTTTTTTAATTGGTATTTAGATAAATGTGTCAATAAATGGATGAATTGATAGATATATTATGTTATTTTATATAATTTGGGATTATTGCTTTTAAGTACCTATTCTAAATATAATGTGTAATTAATTAGGAAGTTTACATCTGAATGTTAAACTAATATTAAGATTCTAAAATCAAATGTACAGTGGTGAGTAGAAATATATTGATAAGAAATTAATTAAATCATGCAAGTTATAAAAAATTAAATAATTTAGAAACTACCATCAAAACTATTTAATAATTAATTAATTATTTAGGTTAGATTAGTTAATTAACTGATTAATGATAACTTCTTTTTTTCTTTCTCCAATTTAAGAAATTGTAGACAAATTTATTTAATTATTACTTTTTTTCAATTTTTAAGACTGTAAGACAATATAGACATACAGACTGACAAACTTACTCTTTATATGTTTTTTTGTTTGTTAGTTTATTTTTTAACCAAGTAGTATTATTTTCAAGCCAAATCTTATTTCAAATGAATAAATAAGTAAAATAAATGAAAAATATTAAATTTGTATTATTTTAAAAATTAAATATCCATCTACTTACTTTTCAGTATTTCAAAAACTTGATTAAACTCATATTATTTAACATTATGAACCTATATTTTTCTTAATCTATTTGCACAAATAATTATTTTAAATAAATTTCTTAAATGTTCAACTCATTCTATTCTGTATGCGCAAGACTTATAGCAATTCCATGTATTAAATTCTTTTGGAAGTTGAGAATTAAGAATTTAATACCTGGATTTGCTATAAATAAAATAGATTAATTATTTTAATAATTTTATTTTGGTTTTTCTTTAAAAAAAATTTTTTAATAATTTTTTAATATAATTATGTAATTTATTTTTAATTTATAATAGATTTTTATTTTATAATATTATAAACATGCTTAATTGTTTTTAAAGAAAATATTAAATTATTATGAATATTTTTTTTTTAAAAACTGTTAAGTTTAAGTTAAAATGAATAAAATCACACTATATTCTTAAAAAATGCTTTTTGTTTATTATTATCCCATAAAGTACGTATGAATAAAAATATTCTTTCTTTGTATTTTTTGTTTGATTTGAATAAAACCCTTCCTATTTTAAAACAAAATTCTGTTTTTTCAAAATTAATAATAAATCCATTTATTTATCTTGCTTTTTATAATAATATTTTTTAAATACTTTTACAGATTATTAAAAAAAAAGTAGAAGTAAATTACTATAAAATGATAAAAATACATGAGAGCTAATAAAATCAATGTAAATATAAAAGAATTAATATAAATAGTATGCAATATGAATAAGATTTCACTATAAAATTAGTGAAAAAGTTTGATTTGAAAACAATTTGTTTATCCTTAGTTATTTTTAAATAACTATAATTGACTAACTTCTATGAAAATTAAAGAAAAATCAAATATATAAATAAGTAAGTAAAATTATGTGTAATCAAAAATCAAAATGTTCTTATTAGCCACTTTACATACAGATAGTATGGATAATTAATAAAGAAAAAAATTTTTTTGATATTATTCTATTTTCGCTTTAGATTACAGAAAATTAATTCTTTTAGTTAGAGAAAAACTTTAAATACGCATGCATGATTTTCTTTTTTGCAATCTTTTGTATTCTGACTGAATTTAAATAAAGGACATTCAAATTGTTTTAATTAAATTTATCAGAATTCTTTCTTAATCAGAAAGTGATCTAATTCAGTTTGATTAGATTTATCAAACAAAATGTTTATATTTCTCTCAAGTTATGATTCATAAAATATAACATTAGATTTATTGATCTTTAAGAAATCAATTTACATAAACCGCTTATTATTTATTCAAGTCAAACATAATATCTATAGTATTATGATAAATTTATTTAATTGGGGATATGATAGTTTTATTTACTTCAAGCTTTTTTTTGATAGTTTTGTATGTTTTTTTAATACTTTATAAAATCAAATTGAGTCATATAAATACATCGAAACTTGTCTAAACTGTGTACCTATGAGACAAAATATTTTGAAAAAAAGTACAGGTACCCAATTAATAGATGGATTTAATAATTTAATTGTTAAATTTGGGATAAAAGCTTTCACCCATTTCAAAAATAACTCAGTTTATAATAGTATCCAGTTTGACAGGGATTTTTTGCTGTATTTTCTTTGGCTATTTGCTTTTACAATACCAAACTACTTTTAAATTATTCATAATGAGAGAAAAGTATTATGTAAATAGTTATTCAGATACTTTTTATAGAAAAAATGTTTTTTCTTTTTAAAATCATTAATATTTTTCATTTAAAAATTAAATTTTCCTAAAATAGATGAAAGTTAGTTACAAAAAAAGATTAAATAAAAATATATAATTTTATTGAGATATTTGTTTTTGAATTTAGCTGATGAATATAAAAGTTCATTTTAATAAAAAACTCAAATAATTTTCGCAAAAAAGAATTTTCATTTTGTAATAGCTAAAAAATTTAAAAAAATGATTAGTTTAAAGCTACTTGATATAATGTATATAAATCATCATTTTTCTTTATTAATTAGTATTTAGATAAACGTGTCAATAAGTGGATGAATTGATAGATATATTATGTTTTTTTATATGATTTGGGTTTATTGATTTTAAGTACCTATTCTAAATATAATGTGCAATTAATCAGAAAGTTTATATCTGAATATAATACTTATTGTTAAGATTCTAAAATCGAATGAATCATTACAGTGGTGAGTAGAAATATATTGATAAGAAATTAATTAAATCACGCAATTTATAAAAAATTAAATAATTTAGAAACTACCATCAAAATTATTTAATAATTAATTAATTATTTAGGTTAGATTAATAAGTTAACTGATTAATGATAACTTCTTTTTTTTCTTTCTTCAATCTAACAAATTGTAGACAAATTTATTTATTTATTTATTAGTTTTTAAAATTTTTAAATATTGTAAGACAATATAGACTTACAGACTGAGAGACAGACCTACTATTTCTATGTTTTTTGTTTGTTTTTTTATTTTTTTTAGCTAGCTAACCTCAAATTTCAATAGTCTAAATTTTTTAATTGTCAAAAATACAAAAATGCAAAAATATACAATATCTCCCAATATTTTATAGTCAAAATTTTTTATAGTCTAAATTTTTTATAGTTAAAATAACTTTAAAATTTAATATTTATATTTATAAAATACCCTTCCTCCTCCTAAGGAAATCTATCATACAGATTTTTAAAATAAAAAGAATAGACAATTTAATTTTCAAATTAATTAAAAATTTTGTTTTGATTTTATGTTACTTAATTCTTTTTGTTAGCATGCCTGCCTAATTATATAACTAATCTACTTAATAGTAAGACCCTAATACCCTAATGTTAGTTTTTTAGATTTATAAATCAATAATTCCCTATTATTATTTTTCAAGACTGTAAGACTAAAAAATTTAAGTATTTTATTGAAATGAATAAAATGTATTAAAAATTTATAAATAATAATTATAGTATTTTAAAAAATACTAGTTTAAATAAATTAATTGAATTTATGTTTTAAAGTAGATAAATATTTTTCATGTATGTTTATAAAATTATCATTAACATACTCAGTCAGTCAGTCAGCTATTTTAATCGAAATAATAAATTGGAAATGCGGTAAAAACTATGTATATGATTAATCTAGGCTGATTAAAAAGCGCTTGTAATTTAAAACAATATATGATATTAAATTAAATAATCAAAAAATATAACAATTTAAAAAAATGCTAAGGTTTTTAACTTTTATTTTGGTTCTTATTTTGCAAAAAAAACAAGCTTTTTGTATTGAAACAATCACTACTCACTATGATTCTAACTAGCTGTAAGTTTAAGTCAATCTTAATGTAGGCTCGCCTCCTGTTCCTCTCGCACTAGATGTTTATTTTGGAACAGTTTAATAATAATCATAATCATAATCATAATTAAGTTTGGGATAATACATCTTTGACCAAAGTATATAACAAACCAGCCCAGATTTTTATGAGTTATTAAGTTCAGCTGGTATAGAAGTATTGTATGACACAACTAAAAGCTCTACATCTTAGTTAGGAAATTCTTTCTAAAGATAAAACAACTAAGGAACATATATATAAGGAGTGTATGTTAACGATATATTATCATTTAAAAGTATATAAGGAAAGTATAATTTTGCTTGTGTTTAATAAGTATAAAATATGTATTCAGCGTTTTCTGATGGTTAAATTATTTTTAATCGAATTTATTAAAATTTATTCGATTAATTGTACTAACAAAATGCTATCAAAACTAGCGATTATATTTTGAGAGGGTCTTAATATATTGTACACCAATCCGACGATGTTAGCTTTCTATAAAATAGCATTGAAATTTCCTTCGATTTAGATAAAAATTCAAGCTATTATGATTTTCCTTCTAATCCAATGATTAATAATATTGATACATTTGAAATAATGAACTATGGAATTTACTTAGATGGCTAAGATGTAACAGACAAAGTTAAAACAAGGAAACTATCATTTGATTAAATTAATAGCTAACGTGGCTATATAGATGTGAGTACTTATATTCCTAAAGATTTGTTTAATATTATTTCGATGAAATACAATTTACCTCCAAATGGTTAATCATATAGTAATTGCAAATAGTGTTAATGCTAAGAAGTTGCAAACCTACCTGAAATTGCCTTAATTACTGAGTAATATAAAATCACAATTTAACCTAATTAATATATGTCCTATAGAGATGGTGAATGCAATTTTAATTTAATAAGTTCAGATTCTTTCAATATAGCTTTTCCATTGATGTTCAATAATATCAATATAATGTATTAAAAATCATCTAATTCGATAAAACTAATTAATGCAGAATTAATAAATCACTTAAATTTAAATTCTATCATAGCTACTTTTTCTATTTTTAGCGCAATTAATTTTATCAGCCTTATTTACTTTTCTTCAGTATGGCTCTTAAAGTTTAAATTATATAAATCCGAAAATCTTCACAAAATAGAAGCTGCTAATGTTTTTGAAATAAATAAGAATAAATGATAAATAAATACAGACAGATGTTTCAAATAAAGCAAACTCGCTATTTTATATAATTTGATTATTAATATTCAAATTTGTTATACTAATGTGGCTCAAATCATTGAAATAAATAAATATTCATAATCTTTTGTTTATCTACATATATATTTTAATATTTGTTTTTTTGTAGAAAAATTATCAATAATTTAAAAAAAGTAGTTTGATTAAAGCATTCATATTAAATAAATTAATGACCTGATTTTAATTCATATTACTCGCCAATTTTTAGAGTTTTGATATTAATTAATTAAACAAACAAACGATGAAATTATCGAATAATTTCAGACAACTTCTCAAAGTTATTTTTGATTAAAAAGTTTTCACTCCACACTAATATTCAGAAGTAATCTAACAAGAACTCAATCTAAAATTATTAAATTTAAAAAATATAATTGCAAGTTAAAAATACAAGAAATATTAGTTAGTACTCTTTATTAAAGTTGTACTTATTTTTTTATTGAAGAGAAATGTTAATTAATCTATAATTATTTTGATTTTTTATTCATTTTTCATTTGCTATAAAATAAAATGTTGATAAATTTTCACTTGAAAAAAATAGTGGAACTTAGAATATTTAAATATTTTCAAGCATTATCGAAATTGATAGATAGAAATGTTAAAAAAAATATAATCAATCTAAATTATTTATTTATTCTTTAACTCTTCAATAAGCACATCTTTAAAAGATTTTTTTTTTTTCGAGTATCTCTTTTTAATAAATGTATAATGTTTTTATTACCTTTTTTATTAATAGGTTCTAAACTTAGCTATTTTTAAAAAATATTTGTATTATAGTTAATTCTTTATATTATATTTAACTATATTAGCAAAAAACAAATATATAATTTAAACAACTATCCAAATATTTTTTAAAAGATCAATCAAAATTCAAGCAATTTTTATTATTATTCAAATATTTTCAAAATTTAATTCTTAAATCTAAGTCTAATTTTATAGTAAATAGAATAAAATAGGAATCAAATTGGATTGTTTAATGAGTTTATTTTAGGTATTGGTCTAACTTATTGCTAAAGTATGAATGTTTGAAGCCTTTATTTATTCTAAAAAATCTTTTAATTCTAGTATTTTTTGATATTAACA